AATAGAGGGAGGGGCAATCATAGTCAGGCTATATTATAAAAGGAAAAATGTCAAAAAGTGGACAGGGAGACAATGAAAAAAACATAAAATATATTTTGCCATATCTAGTCACTAAGTGTTATATGGCTAACATAAATAAATCACATCTAAAAATGTATCAAAATATATATTTAAAATTGTGATATACATATTGAAATTTGTCTAGATGCCTTTTTTTCCCGAACTGTTAAAGAATAAGTAACATGAATACTAAAAAAATATTCAATGTATCAAATATAAACATGAACACACATTCCCCTTTTATATTATAAAAGGGAAAAGACAGGTGAGGGAAAAAACACAGCATAATTACCACTGAAGAAAATGGAAGAGGAGAGTCTCTAGCCATTTCTATGTTTTGTTCTGTAAGTTAATGAAAGATATTGGAAAACTGAAATAGCCACTTATTTCCAAGTAAAGACAAAGGACTCTTAATAATTAAAAGATTCTCTGTCATCACAGACAGCAACAAAGGCCTTCTCCCATGCCATTCCCAAGGACTCCTCAACTTGCACTCCTTCATCACCAAGAGACTCTCAGGCAGCCAAGCCTAGATGGTAATGTTTGGATGAAATGATTTGGATGAATTTTCTAAATTGCACAGATTTCAGTTCTGAATACAACTGAAAACCAGATCTTCTACAACTGGTTGGGAAAACAGACTGGCAATAACTCATTTCAACCTACAGGACAATAAAATGAAAATGCATAGTCTACTCCTGAACACTGTCTTTGAAATTGGTTCAGAAACCCAGACGAAAAAATATTTCCTCAAAAACACAAATACAACAGAAGGCAGAAACAAGTTAAATAATAATATCAATAAGCACTGATTATTTTATAAGGACAAATATCTCTATTATATTAAAGATTACATAACGAGTGTGCAGAGAAATCATTAATATGGGTTTAAATACCTCAATTTAAGAAAAAAAAAAACATACTCAGTGATGCAAAATTATACACCAAAACATTTCCAATTTTCGTCAAGTTACCTATGGTGCTATTACTAAAAAAAAGCTATGTGCCTCCATAATCAGAGATATGACTTATCCACCCAATGGAAGAATTAGCGTTCTTATCAGTAAAACATAATGCAAAAATCATTTTAAACACAAAATCTATTAGACTATTAAAATCCTTTGGGTCAATTTTAACCTTTATTTAGTATTTTCAAAAGTGGTAAAAATCTATACTATGAACAGATTTAAGTAACTAAATGGCCTTCACATTATTGCTCACAAAATAATATCTTTAATTGATTAATGATCTTAGGGTGTCTATCGCCATCTAGTGAACAATCACTTCAATTACTACACCAAATACTTGACATTTGATAGTTGTTTTCATGGTTAATATTTGTGCCAACTCAGTGTTACCCACTCAGGCTTACCCAATTTCTTTTTTATGCCTCTACAAACACACATTGAGAATAAAAACAAATACAGATGGTACTGTTACAGATTTACTTCCAAGTGTCTATAAATGAAGTTTCTATATTTCTTCTCTGGAAATGCTCACTTAATTATTTTTTTTAAAAAAAAAAAACTTGTATAATGTGAGGTTCCTACATAAGATTCCTTCAACAGCAACTAATTCCTCTATCATCAAGCAATTAAAAATTATGGGACAGTTGAAATATGAAAGATCAGACCTCTAAAAGATAATATTGATGCCCATTTGACATAAATAGTTTCACATTTATTATAAACCTGTCTTTAAAAGCAAAATTAGTCATTACTTGAGTATTCTAGCAGCCATAATACATTTGATTACAGAAATCATTAGGTCACTAGAGCCAAAGCTGCATGATCCCAAAACAACTCAGCACACACAAAATCTACTTAAAAATAAGAAGGGAGGGAGGACATCAAGACCATACCAAAATGCAAAATTCCATGCCTCCCCAGACTCTGCATTAACCTATATCCAAATAAAAACCCTTATAATCTTGTCAAAAGGCATGCCACCAGGTTCCCTTCTCATTTCTATCTGAACTTTAATTTTCATTTAAACAGGAAGTTTAAATGCAAAAAGCTTGTAAGATCTTCAGGTAATTTTATTACTTTGTCCACTTTACCTTATGACAAAAAACACCAGTTTAGTAAGCTGCGAAAGTATTCCAAAATCTCAACTTCACCCCTCCTACCTCTTTAATAATTAAGAAATGCTTGACATGTATATGCCTGCAATTACAGCACTTAAATGGTTTTGGGTTCAAGGTCAGCATATGACTTATGATCATACACTATCTCAAAACAACAATAAAAATCCTTAAAAATAACAGGACCCAAAGTTTATAGGAAAAATGATAGCAATACTAGCGATTATTCATCTGTCAGTACTGGTAATTACTACCAATATTTTTATTTTAGTAAATAACTTCACAGAAATCTTTGGATCTTCTAAAATAAGATTTGCAGAGAGCAGGTGCATTATATACTTAATGCTTCTCATTAACTTCACATTAAAGACATAAAGCCAACAACTGTAGACAGTAGACAGTATTGTATATAGGAAGGAACACAGATTAAAAAGAGGGAAAGCAGAAACTAAGAATTTGAATCCCATAATTATTTTGAGATTTATCTGCAATTCTTCTTTAGTGAAGTGAGCAGGGAAGTTTTATATTTTGCTTAAGATATATAATTGCTATATTTTACAATACAAAAAGTGAAATTTTAGCTTGGTTCTGTTGTTGTTATATGTTGATCAACAAAAAGTAAAATTTGTATCTAAATTCCCTATTAAAAATCCAGCTAAAAGAAAATACTACCCTTAAAATACAATGGATTAGGGAAGTAGGAGAGATCACTGGACAAATTTAGGACTTATCATTATCAACGGTGCCCTTTTAAGATTGTGGATTTCTGAGCCAATGCAGAAAATGTAACAACAGGGAATTCTCAACAGCAAGAGGCACTCTCCAAGGGAGTAAATTGTCAACTATTGCCTCTCTTGAGAAACTTAAGAGTAACCTTGATTCCAATCTCAATACTAAACCTATGTATTATCACCCAGTTGGGGCATAGTGAGTGCATTTCCTAATACAAAAATAAGATGGTATTCTATCCGAAGCCACTGGATATATACACACACATACATACATACATACATACATACATACATACATACATACATACGTGTGTGTGTATATATATATATATATAATTTAAATAATTTTGAAGCAAACTTAGCTCAAGAATCTGAAAACATCTTTCTCTAACTTCAACTAACCCCTAAAATTACCATTATATTTCTCATGTAAAAGAGAAAATGAAAAGACTATGTTATGCAATAGATACTGAAAAGGATGACTGATTAATAATAAGGTAGAAGACAAAACAGAACTACCCTTGCAAAACCTATCCTCTAATGGTGAACCCTAAAGCAGTAAAAGACTTAGAATCAGGAAGACAGATTCAATTCAAGGTAGCCACTTGTTCTCCTTTACCTCCCTGAGCATTAGCTTCCTCATATACAAAACAGAATACTATCATTATATATGTCAAAGGACTCTTGAGTAGTTTTGATGTAATACTGCACAAAACAGTCCTTAACACACCATTGCTATTCAATACAAGCTTTGCCCTTCCTCTGTGTACTAACCACATCTCTGGGATAAAGCTACAAGAAAGGTGACTTGAAATCTTGTGATATTTGTTTCATGTTACAACTGGACATATACAGTAGTCACTCACCATATGTTAGCTATTCAAGTTTAAATTCATTTTAATTACAAATAAATAATTGTAAAAATCCAGTTCCTCATCTAATCGGGAATAAGCAAATACAAAATGTTCACTTGCGGTTAGAGGCTATTATATATGGATAGTACAGATAAAAATCACTTCCATATCTTAAGCAAACACTGAAAGTGCCAAGTAACAAGTATTTTAAACTTTGTAGGCCACATAAGACTTTATCCTGACTACAACATAAATGAATGAGCTTGGCTGTATTTCAATTAAACCTTACTTATAAAACACAGAAAATGGGTTGGATTTTGCCTATAAACCAGTTTGCCAATCACCGCACTATAGAGTATTCTGAGTCCAGATGCCTAGTGTGAGCACTATGGACTATGTTTACAACTATGTAGCCTTAAATTCAATGCAAGAAAACAATATCTTCATGTACTTGATTGAATTCACTTAACATAATCATGCTTTGATAGATTATAAAACTAACCTCTACACAAAGCACTAAAGTAGATGAACTTAAAATGTCGTTAAAGTGACAGTACTTAATGGTAATTGGTCTATCATCCTCAAGTCAATATGCAACTCCAGCTGTGACATAGCCCTAGAATTCTGGATTCATATGCCCAACAACCTACCGAAAATGCCTAGAGAGCTATTCCTCAAAGTCAACACATAGAAGGCAGAGTTCTTGATCACTCTCTCTCTCTGTTTTCTCCCACTTAGTAAAAATAGAAGGATCCACTAGCTATTTTCTACCTTTGTCTCATATTACACAGTAAACTGTCAGTTAAAAAAAAAAACTAGCTCCCTATGTTAACGTAACTAATCCCATCTAAACCCTAAACCTAAGCTAGCATCCAGACATTGTCAAGTCACCACCATCTTAACTATCTAAAGAATGGTATTTCTATCATATTCATCCTAGGATAGTTTTATACTTACTCAGTTGTTTTCCCAGACTATCCAGCCATCAACTCAGGTCCTCCATTTTTATCCCCTCTCCCCACAAGTCTGGGTCAAATACATACTTTACACAATATTTTACATTCAGTCTTTATTGCCTAGCATATAAACATTTAATAATTGTGCACATACACACAGAACTGACATGAATTCTTATTCAACTGTCTATTTGTCTCAAACTTGCTCTAAAGAAGGAATATTTCCAGCTGTGAAAACTAGGTAACAAACTTAGTGTTCCTATATTACAGCATAAATTTACATATTTATTAATAGGAATTATATTTTGCCATTTACCTCCCTTCCTTTGTATGTCACCAAGGCAGCCAGGGGTTTGGCATAAAATCTGCTGTAGGAAAATCCCAGGCAACCGTACATACTGTTTGCAGTGAGCTTCAAAGCCTTCTGTCGGATGTCATACTGCAGGCCAACAATGACAAAAGATAAACAACAATATCTGTGGAAGCTTAAGCGTTACACTGGGTATCTTTCTAGATCACAATGAGAGAGAACCTCTCAGTATCCAGGAGTGGGGAAGATATTTATTACTCAATCTGTCTCCCCAGATTCATGTTGTTCTACCCTCTTACTTGGAAGAATACAGAGTATTGATTTCCCAAGATTCTGTAAGATGTTACTCAGATATGGCCTTAGCATCTAGAAAAGCCTTCCATTCTGAGGCAGTCCAGTGCATCTGAATGATTATTATCCAAAATAAAACAAGTACATATACTTGTCCACACCATACTATTGATCCCACTCCTCAATTAACAGGTGATAGAAGCTAAAACTGTCGTGCAAACTCTTTGCAATAAAAAGATTTACCTGAAGAACAAGGTCCGGATTTAAATCTTGCTGTTTCATTAGCTGTTTGACTTGTTTTCTCCGCTCTACCAGTTTCCGGATCTCTCTGGGCAAAATGCCCATATCTAAGTTTGGATCTGGCAACTCAGGGATCTGTTCCTGTTCCTCATCCTGAAAAACACACAATAGAAACTTCAGACAGTTAAATTTTGACTAAAAAAATAAACTTCTAAAGTAATATTTGACAAGTGATTTATCCCTTCACCACACCTTAGAAATCTTTCCTGAATGAGGAAATCAATAATGCATGAGCAGTATTCAAAGGGGGCTGGCTCATTTAGATAAGGTGGTACTAGTCTGTAGTCATACAACTTGGGATGTTGAGGCAGACAGATCATCATGAGGCCAAGGCCAGGCTTGAGCCATATAACATATCCAGATCAATATGGATTAAGGGGTAACTCCCTGCCTCAAAAAAACAAACAAGTCAAACCAAAACAACAGAAACCACAAAGAACCCCCCCCCAAAAAAAAAAAGATCTGTGTGGTCACAGACCACTATTTTCCTGTACCTAGTTCTATCAATCACATAGTGTCGTTGCCACTGTCTCTCACCCTTGTAGTTACTTACAAACTCAAAATTGGTGTAAAAGGATGGATTTTTACAAATGTGGAGCAACATGTTTGGGAAAACGGTTTTTAAAATACAAATGCTAAGAAAAAAAAAACCATACAAAGCATACAAAAAATAACCACAATAGCTAAACTCTTCTTTTATAACATTTGTACAACCAAACAAAATGCTACAGAATGTTTCACAACAATTACTGTGAATGATTTTACTGTTAAAAATACAGAATTTATATACTAAATCAGCAACTCTCTTTTAAGAAATGGATCGTATTTAAATAGGTTATGACATTTCTAAAAATTTATACACACATATATACACATATACACACACACATATGTATATATATATGTGTGTGTGTGTGTGTGTGTGTGTGTGTGTGTGTATGTATAATATATTCCTTAGTGTTTACGGAGTACCTTTTACCTATAAATTGCTTTGCAATCACCAGAAGAATAGCAACATTTTAGAAAGGCAATCAGCAGTCTTCTTATATTAAAATTTACAGCAGGAAAAAGCAGGGAAAGCATTAGTGCTTTTTCTCAAGCCTCCATTAATTCTATTAACAGGCTGTAAAGAACAGCCAGGCACCCGTTGAAAGGTTCAAAATTAAAAATAAACCTTTTGGCTTAAAGCATGTCAAGTCAATGCATTTTGATAACCCAGCCTTTACAAAAATACCTGGTTTTAAGACTACACTTTCAGGGACCATTTCTATAGTTTGTTACAAAATATCTGGTTTTATAAAGATCAATATCATAAAATGAACACCCTTACAACACTAATAAGGACCTATTGTTTTCCAATGTAGCACAGATGATAGCAAACCTATTAAAGAGACCTTGGTATAGATTCCACTGCATTTATGGCAACTAGAGTCACATAAAAAGTAATCTGAAAGATTCTTGGTCAGGAAACTTATAATTTATCTGAAATCCTACCACCACCTCCAGGGTGACACTAACTGCTCTTAAAACCAAATGAGGTGCTATACATGAAAATGAAAAAGAACTCAAAATTACTACATGTATAAGCTGACCTCTTGTGTCCTTCCACTCTTATATATCCAGAACCCAAAATGAAAAGCTAAAATAGGCAAAGCATTGGTGCACATCAGTTGTAAAGGCAGAACAATAACTCTCACAGTGATTAGAAAATAGCAGGACAGAGCCAAAGAGTACCAATGGTGGCTGCTAATTTGTGGGGTTGTTGTCCAATACTTTCTTTGTAAAATTAAAGTCTAGTCCCACAGAAGTCCACTTTTAGCAGTAAGATTTACAGGGAGTGAATCCACCCCTGTGAACAAAAGTAATGAGACTAGGGGGTATGACTGACTCAGACAAATCTACCAGATATTCTCTATCTGGCAATATGGAATTGGAACTGAAAAAAATTCAATACCAGACATGATGAAACTAAAAGAAATATAAATTCAGAACCTAGAGGGCAAATGGAAACAAAACAGGAAGAAAAAGAAGGGAGGGTGAAATGGATATATGTGAAGAGTAATAATCCTGTGCTGCACCGAGACAGGATTATTTTAGAAATACAGAGGAATGAAGTACTGGCACATGCTACAACACAGAATGAATCGTAGAAACCGTATGATAAGTGAAACAAGCCAAACAAATACAAAATTCACATCCTATATGATTCTATTTACATAGAATGTTCAAAGTAGGCAACTTTACAATCGGAAAGATCAGTGGTTGCTGGTGAGAAGACAAACCTCCAACAGATAGTTCCAAACTCATGTTCACATACAGAGCCTTGGTTAGTTCAGTAAGTCAAAAAAACAAAACAAGACATGAATGTGAGAAGGAGGTCTTGTAGAGAGAAAGGAGATAAGAGAGGGTATGGTTGAGAGTAAACTGAATGCATTGTGTACATTCATGAATCTGCCAAAGAACAAAATAATAAAAATCTATAGTAAAAAAGTAATGCCTGACTAGAGCTAGGATGGATAGAGAAACTTGATAGAAATGAGAAATGTTTTTTTCATGAAATAATCGAACTGAATGAAGTAATAGTTTACAAGTTCTATGAAGACACTAAAAACTATCTCTACACACTATAAATAGGTTGACCATAAGGTAAGTGAATTATTGTTTTAACAACATTGTTTTAACAAAGACAGAACCAGTCTAAATTGCTTTTTGGTCAGCCCTCCTTTTTGATAACAAAGAAAGTATAAAATCAGATCTGGATCAATAGTTCAATGAGCAAAATGCTTACTGAGCAAGCATGAAGATCATAATTTGTATCACCACAATCTTGAAACAAGAAGGCACAGGGCCAGCAGGAAGGTAAAAGGGTTTTTTTTTTTTAGGGAGTGTGTTTCAAAACAAGGTTTTTCTATGTAGCTCTGGCTGTCCTGGAATTCACTCTATAGACCAGGTTGGCCAAGAACTCAGAGGTCCACCTGCTTCTGCCTCCTGAGTGTTAGGGTTAAAGGCATGTGCATGTAGCACCACCTCGTGGATAAAAGTTCTTAATGTACAAAGCCTCACAGACTAAGTTTGATCCCCAGAACTTCAGTGAAAGGAGTAACTCCAAAAAGTTGTTTTCTAACCTCCACGTGCACAATTACATTGACACACAAATAAAAATAATGAATATTTTGTAAAGCCATCATGGTGCTATGCCCCTATAAACCAGTTGGGGAATGAGAGACTGAGACGGACGAATTCCAGCAGGTCATTGGCTAGCCATTCTAGCAAAAATGACAAGCTCCAGTTTCAGTGAGAGACCCTGCCTCAAAAATTAAGGTGAAAAGTGACAGAGACAGATACTGGCAGTCAATGTTCAACATCTATGCACATACATGTGCGCATAAACACATGTATAAACAAACACACCAAAGAAATGATGCTATTAATGCAACCATTAACAGGAAAGAGAAAAAAAATAGGATACTAATAACCCTTTGGCTCTTTTCCTTCTTTAGAAATACTTTTAACAGTGACTTAAAGAGCCCCCAATTGAATACAAACCTCAGCTTTCTGCACCTCTGAAGCAACTCTTTGTACTGTTGTAAAACAAATGTTAAATTCCTGAATGATGGAAGGATATAAGCTGTTGAAATCCAGGAGCAAAATGAACTTGTCATAAAAACCTGAAACAAAAAGAGCCACATAATGTCAAAAAAGTCTGAAGAAAAGTACCATCAAAATATCTCATTAGAAGTACTATATATAGAAAATATATATCATCCACACTGTAAAGCAGATAAAAGGGGAGGGTCAACTACAAATCCATAAAATGACTTAGATTACAGTAGAAACCCAGATCACAAAAAAAAGGGTGAAAAGATTGCCTTTCATGGGAGCCAATGACAACCAGCCTGTTCCCCAGCAGTCCCAAAGCATGTTATTATCATTATGTGCAACCACCTTCCCTTGTCAATTGTTTTAGAAATGTATCGTGTTCATTTCCAAAAAATACAGTTAAGAATTCTTTCCCATTACTCTCACCCCACCATGAATAAAAACTCAGTGAGTGGTTATATTACATATATATTTTTAACAACCTCACCTTCAAGGAATAAAATTGTCAACACATTTACCTATACAAAACTGTGCATCAGATCAATCAAGAAATGGATATATAAATGTTAGTAGTGGAACGATCCACCCTTTCTTCTTGCAAAGGATGAACAGAAAGCTACTATATTTCTCTAGGACATTTATAAAAAGTTATCTTCACCTTGAGAAGAAACTGACAATATAAATGTCCACTGAAACAGAACTACAAACTTGCATTAGTAGCTTATTCCCCATCTCTTTACACATGATATCATCATCTCCTTTTCATAGAAAAGGAAACTGAGGTGAAAATAGGGCACACCCAAACCATTATCTAACACTAAAAGTATAACTCCTTGTCGTTGCAACTAATAAAATTGCTTTTGTAAAAAATGTCTCCTCTTAATTTACTTGATAAAATTCACATTAAATGGGAATATATGTAATCATTCTATAGAGCTATACACACTTGGAAACAACTAAGATGGTCTAAAAAACAACAGAGATGAACCCTTAATATCACAAACTATCTTTCCCTTCTGGACAACAACAACAAAAAAAGGGTGCTCTCCCGTTAAATTTTAATTCAATGATTATTATACTTCCTTTAACATTGCTTTCCAAATTACCTGGTACACTGGGCAAAGATGAGGCCACTCTCACATAAAGACAGAAAAATAGGTACTTCTACCACAGATCAAACAACAATCTCTATGTTAGAGCAGTGACTGAAACTCTGAGTATGCAGATAGATAGATAGATAGATAGATAGATAGATAGATAGATAGATAGATAGATAGATAGACAGACAGACAGACAGATAGATGAAATTAGATTTCAAGGTATGTAAGTAAAGCTGTATTGACATATGGCAAAGAATTCATACTAATTCCATGTTAGATAACTAGTAAAATAGATTTTACATGCATAAGAGATAAAATTAAGGTCATTAAGAAACCATTTTACAGCTGGGCAGTAGTGGTGCATGCCTTTAACCACAGCACTCAGGAGGAAGAGGCAGGAGGATCTCTGTGAGTTCGAGGCCAGCCTGGTCTACAAAGCTACACAGAGAAACACTGTCTTGAAGACAAAAAAAAAAAAAAAAAAAAAAAACCAGTTTGCTTACCTGCAAGATAAAACTAAGGTCTAGTTTCTTAAGAATAACTATATGAAGTTATTTCTTAATACAGTGGTTCTCAACCTGTGGGTTGAATTGTAATGTAAATAATCAGTCTTTTCACAGGGCTCTCCTAACACCATGAGAAAATGTAGATTATTTACATTACAAATTATAACAGTAGCAAAATAATAGTTATGAAGTAACAACAAAATAATTTTATGGTTATGGATCACCACAACATGAAGAACTGTATTAAAGGGTCACAGTATTCGGAGGTTGAGAACACTATCTTAATTGCAGCAAACCAATCTGCTACCAAGTCTTACCAACTTTGGGGTCCAAAACCAAGCCTCCAGCATAAGCTGCTTTCTTACGTCCTTTCTTGTATTTACTGGTATCTCCATCAACTTCCTCATCTTCATCTCCCTATTTCAAATGGAAAGAGAACTTCACCAGCTGATAACCAGCTAATGAACTCAGTATTATTACTGGGTTACAAAAAATATTAACTTTTACTTAGTGGTCCTACCTATGAGGAAAACCTGTTACCATAAATATGTTCATGGATCCAAATGAATGCCAAGCATGGTAGTGTCTTAACTAAATAACCAGTTTTCTGAATTCTATATTTAAGTGTCTCTGAAATCCTAGAAATTTCATTTGAGGGCCAGGAATATAGCTCAGCTAAAAGAGTGCCTGCCTACCACTTACAAAACTCTGGTTCCATTACCAGTACCTCATAAAACCAGGTGTGATAACACATACCTGCAATCCCAGTGCTTAGAATATTTAACCAGGAGGATCCTAAATTCAAAGGTATCCTCAGATATACAAGAAATTAGAGGCCAGCCTGAGCAATGTTAGACCATGTCTAAAATATATTTTTTAAAAGTAAGCAAAAAAGACCAGAAAATTTTATTTTAAAATCAGTAAGTATTAAAAACCCTTCATGTTATATAAAATTTGAGATTTTGAAGGAGTTTTATCAAAATCACTACTCTGGCTGAACTGTAGTGGTGCATCCTTTAATCCTAGTACTCAGGACACAGAAACAGGCCGATCTCTAAGTTTAAGCAGATCTCTGAGTTTAACCAGTTCTCTGAGTTTAAGGCCAGCCTGGTCTACAGATCAAATTTTGGGATGGCCATGGCTACACAGAGAAACACTGTCTTGAAAAACAAATAAAAAAATCACTATTTTTGATATTCATAATGCAAAAGGGATAAAACAGCCTACTTATTCATCATAATGATTCTAATTATTATTGCTTTTATGATATGTTATCTTAGTATGTTGTTCAAACTTCTGGGCTCAAGCAATCCTCTTGTCACAACCTCCCAAGTAGCTACGACTCCAGCAAGTACCATCATGCATGGCTTATTGTCTTTATTAGTATAGATTCTTAAGTATGCCCACAAAATGAAAACTCCATTTCAAAGTAGTTTACTAACAGCCAACATTCAATACCACTGCACAAATTAAATAGATCTAAATTAATATTTGGTACCATTTTCAATAATGTGCATTAACAAGATATAAGAAACTAAGTAACATTTTAACATTCACTTGCCATTCTTAATTACTATCAGTACTGATAAAATGGAAAATAGACTTAAGTTTTAGTTTCAAAGTCATAGAATGTACTTCAGAAACCTAACTGGTTTCTTAATCACACTAGTAACAGCTTGTTTGTCCCATCTCAAAATCTGAAGGTCAAAATCTGAAAATTTTTAAGTATGAAGACTTTACAAGCAGAAACTAGCACATGTCACCACATGTTTCAGGTTAAAATATTACAAAATTGACTACAGGTAATACACACATACACACATGTGTAAATTGTATATTTTGTGTTCACATAGATTCTCATCCCAAGATTTCTCATTACATAATATACAAATTTTCCAAAATAAAATAAATTAATCTAAGTCACTTCTAAAAGCATTTTGGATTAGGGATACTCAACATATTTATAAACTACAACACAAAAAAGCTCAAAGGTTAAAACAACAAAGGTTTAACTGATATTTCGCTCAGGGTAAATCTTAATGGGCGTAAATACTTTCTATATATGGTCATTCATCAAAGAAGGCTAATGAGATCCTCAAAGACATTTCACAAACAATTTTGCCTCTACAGAGAAAAGCAGAGAGGGACACAACTACTTAGACACAATGTAGCAAGATTAAGAGTGATCCTAATTTACAGGGAATTAATTGTAATTTTAGGAGATGTCAAAGCAAGTTTTTTTTAAAGGCTACCTAGGTAATAAAAAACAGGGATAAGAAAAGGTAATGTACTATATAATTTTGGACCCACCAGTTTTTGCTGAGATTTTCTGAAAATCTGCTTGTCAGGCACAATATAGTTGTTTTCATAAAATGCATGAAGTAGCAAGAACTCGTTTCGTTCTGAACGTCCACCCATCAGTGTCCTGGACTATTAAACAGAATTTTTAAAACTTTGAGCTCAAAACCATCACAAATGAAAGCAATGTTGATTCACTTAATTTAATCATGGAACCTTCTTCAACTGCTCATAGTAACAAAGGTTATGTTTTCTAAACTATTTCAAACTTTCTCTTCAAGCATTAAGGGAGATGAAGGGAACTTAAAATACTGTCAGTGTATCACTCCACAAAAAAAAAATCCAGATGTTAGAGAGAAGATCCTTATGTTCACCCAAATCTCTACATACTGCACCTGGCATTCATCCATTCATCCCTTTCTCTCAACCAGTTGTTCCTTTTACAAAAGAAACCCAGCTTCAGAATCCCAGCTCTTCATTTTATAAGCATGCATTTAGGCTCATTAACATTTAACTACTATCCCAAGCAAACAGTGAATCCAACAGGAAATGCTTTTTTCCCCTTTCTAAGTTAAATTTACCATAATGTTCCCAGCGATGTTAGTGATCTGCAATGCTAATGGAAGAACATTTAGCTCACACATGATCTGCAAAATGAATCTGGCATCTTTCCAGATTTGTTCCAACAGGTACAACAGATGAGAAGATTCACTGTACAGAAAAGTAAGAATGAAACAGAATCAAGCAATTAAAAGATACAATGACTATAATCAGAACTTAAAATATTACAAGGAATTTTTGGTGTAAGTAGCTTCTGAGCAATGGAACCTTGGCTTCAGAAACTATTTAAAGTAGGGTGGCTAAATAATTAGAAATGCATTTATACCACCAAATTCAGTCCCATTCTCTCAACAAAAATATCCATACAGTGAAATATGTTAACTTTAGCTTAAATTTTATCTAGTGTTAACTATTATCTATGAATTATCTAAATCATTTTCTTCATTCAATCAATAAGTATATATTGCATGCCTACTATGATTCAGGTGCTGGCTATGACCAAAGACAAAAATTCTTATCCTTCTGGGGGAAACTGAGTATAAAAAAGAAAAATAGATAGTTAATATTTATACAATGATAAGCAAGTGTTAAGGACAAACAAAGGGGTAAAAAACAAAATTCAAACTTTCAGGAGCAGAAACGTAATTTTTACTTAGAGAGCTAGGGAAAAAGTTACTGAAAACAAAGACTAAGAAGTGACAGGACAAGCCTTATGTGTATATTAGGGAAGTACATTCCAAATAAAAAGCACAAAGACTCTGAGTGAGGCACCAATCTAACAGTTACAGGAACACAATGGAAGTCGATATGGATCAGGGAATAATTGAAATAGCAGTAGAATAACAGAAAATCAACACCACAGACACACTGCACAGGACCCAGTATGCTGAAGTAAGAACTTTACTCTGAGTTAAAGCAGTAAGAAATTTTGATAAGGCTTAATTTTAGAAGGTTTTTTTTTTTTTTTTGGTTGTGGATTAATTATAAAGAGACCTGAAAAGGATAACAAAATTAGTACGTAGTTTGTTTCATTTGAAACTAAGGAGTGGGGTTTAATCCCCACTATGATAGGTCACAGGGATAGACCCTGAGAACATCAGCTACCCATGAAGTTCTATGAGGGTAAAAACAAAAATACTATAAGGTACTTAAAGATGAAGCCATTGAGTCTCCAAGACTGAATACTTATGACTTTATAAGACAGATTAGAGAATATAAACACGAATATACATTTCACACATCGAATGATAACCTGAACAACTACAACTCTGTCAGAGGAGATCCATCAATCTTGGAGCTCCAGAACCATACATCAAAACAAATCTCCTTCCTTTTTATCTTACCCAATATGTGGTGTTGTGCTGTTATCAACAGAAAATGAACTAAGACAAGACATTCAGTAATTCAGGGGAAAACATGATGGCTTGGGGTAAGGGAGGTTCGATGAAGGTTAAAGAAGTACTAGGAGCTTTATTTAAAAGATGGGACTAAAAAGTCCTTGATGGACCTATTGCAGTTATCTAAGAGGTCTGGGGTAGAAGATGACTTTGAAGACTTCCAGACAGTCATGAACATTCATAACTGTCATTGGTACAGTTATGAAAGACTAAACAAAGAACATAGGAGAGAGAAAAAAACAGTTCAGTTTTCAACAAGCTGAAGGATCATACTAGATATCAGGTAGGTAAAACTTGGTGGGAGGATTAAAGCAAAGATACACAGGTGGGAGGCATTAGCCCAAATATCTAACTTAAATTAAGAATCAGATAATCTAGAGAGAAAAATAGTTAAAAGAGAAGTAGCTGAGGGACTCAGAAGAGATAAACTTAGAAAAGGGCTACACAAAAAGCAAAATCTTCCTTTAAAACTAAGTAAGTATAGCTGGGGGTAGTGGCACATGTGTTTAATTGCAGCACTCAGGAGGCAGAGGCAGACAGATCTCTCAGAGTTCGAGGTCAGCCTAGTATACACAGAGAATTCCAGGACAACCAGAGATATATATTAAGACCATGTCTTAAGTTAAAAAAAAATATATAAGCATGGACAACGTGGTTCAGAGTTGTTATTAAGGATTCTGGCATTATGGCTGTCCTGCCCTGTCAACTGGCAGAATGCACTCAGGCAGTACCCTAGTCAGCACACAGTTGCAAAGGACCCCTTAAAAAGAAAGACCACGCCCACTTACACTCTCTTTCCCCCTCTCCCTCTCTCCTTTCTGATGTTCCCCTGGGGCAGACAGGACTTATCCTGTCTCCTTTTCTTCTGTCCTCTCTGTCTCTGCATCAATTTTCTTTTTCCCCCTCCCTCCCCCTTTTAATAAAACTCCTCACTTAAGCTCTGTCTGTCTGGCATGTTTGTCCCTCACCTCAGTCACCCTCATCTCAGTCACCCTCACCTGCCAAGGAATCCTCCAAGGTTCCCTTCCAGCTTTATCATAACAGCTGTAATCCCATTTCTTAGGATTCAAGTTCAAGGACTCAACTACATAGATCCTGTCTCCAAAACTCAAAAGAAGCAAACAATATGTATAAATTACTTGCTTCATTTTTACATTTCCAAAAATGCCCAAGTGATTTAAGTACATGAGTTAAGGATGAAAATCTAAATTCTCATTAATTTACAAATTACTATTAGAAAACATCAAGAAGACAGATAAGGTACATAGAGGTCGGTAGTTGATTTCTGTTTTGTTTTTTACTTTTGGGGGGCCTGCCACCCACCTCCCAAATAAATGCACAGAGACTTATTCATACCTAAGCTTGATTTGTTTCTAGACAACTTTTCTAACAAATTGTCCCATTTCTCTTTAACTATACTTGCCTCTTCTCTCCTTCTCCTTTTCTCGCTCCTCCCTCCTCATTCTCTTCCCTAGATTTCTATTTATTCTGTCTGCCAGACCACCTATTCCTCTCTCCTTCCTGGCTATTGGCTGTTCAGCTCTTTATTAGACCATTAGGGTGTTTTAGGCATGCAAAGTAACACAGCTTCAGAGTTAACAAATGCAACATAAAAGAATGCAACACAACTTTATAGCATTAAACAAATATTCCAGAGCATAACTGAATTTTAAACTGATATTCCACAATAAAGTTCAGCTAATTCAATTAGAATAATCAAGAAATAAACTCATTTAAAGAATAAAATAATGGATATGATGGAATTGGTATAAAGAAACATTTCCTGCTCCATGGCACCAGTGACTGGCTTGTGTACCTCCTGTCTTAGGAAAGCAGTGGCACCCTACTGTTGCTCACTTCAAAGAAGATGAGTTCTGAAGAATACAGGATCATACCTATACATATTTCGTATATTTTCTGCTGGAATTACAATCCTCTCAGTTTTCAGAATCTGTTGAACAAGTTCAGACAAATGGTAGCTTTTACAGTGAATTAATTCTTTTGCTGAAATTTCCACATCACATATCATTCGGCCACAGGTTGCATTTCTTTCACCAAATCCACTCCGGCTCTACAAGACAGGAACAAAAAAACAAATCCCATGAAGGAGCAAATACTGAGAACAATCTGCTGGAACTGCCCCCAAAATTACAATATTGAAATTCTGCTTCTACTTATAAATCATATGCTTCTGAACACCTACTGTGTTTCATTCTATATCACAATGAATGAAACAAAGATTCCTGATTATATAATTAACATATACAACATGTTGTATATGAAGTCAAACAGTTTTAGAGGGCATGAGTACATGGCAAAGAAAACATCACAGTAGGGTAAGAAACAAGGAATTTGGAGTAGAGTGATCAGGGAAGACCTTACCAACAAGATGCCAAATAAAGAAAACATTGAGCTTTGCATGATGGTTTATCCCTTCAACACCAACACTTGAAGAATAATGCTTGGGGAATGCCATGAGTTCAAGGCCAGCCTGGGCTATGTAGTGAGCATCAGCCACCACCTCTCTACCCCCTCCTCCATCTCAAAAAACTAATACCCAAACAAACAAAAATTTCAAAGGGGGCAGAGAAGCAGCAGTTAAGTATTTGAGTAAGTGCAAAGAATGATCTTGTCACCTTAAAGATATGAACATAGGTAAAAGGAACTGTGGCCCCAACTCTTGATTCCTAACAACAGAATTCCCTGGCATTATAAAAGATAGATTCTAAAATTCTCTGCTGAAGCAACCTGTCCAATTTACTTGTAACATTTAGGAAAAATAAGATTTCAAGCATAAGCACTATCACACTTAGTAAGAAAGTGCTTCATACAAGAAAGCACTAAAGCCTAAATATACAAGCAAAGCTAGACCTTGTCTCAAAAAGAAAACAAAACAAAAAACGATAGGCAGTGGTTGTTCACAACTTTAATCCCAGCACTCAGGAGGCAGAGAGATTTCTGTGCATTCAAGTCCAGCCTGGTCTACAAGAGAAAGTTCCAGGACAGTCAGGAATATTACACAGAGAAACCCTATCTCTAACACCACCGAAAAAAAAAAAAAAAAAAAAAAAAAAAAAAAAAAAATCAAGAGGCCAGCCTGAACTACAGTAAACTCTCAAAAAACACAAAATAATAAAGAGTAAATAAAAAGGGAGTGGAAAGAGGGGAAAAGAGGAATAATAAACTTTAAAATAGACAGGCCTTGGGTCCTGAGCTCAAATCTCAGTTCTTTCTCTTTCTAGTTAAATGATCTCAAACTATTAGAATATCTACAAATGAAATAAAAGTTGCTATGAAAGGTAGCTCCAACAGAAAGTGCTTAGCTCCCTTCCACTAAATTTTCCCACTTTCAACCTGAATAATACTCAATGATTTCAGAGCCAACCAAGCCTGCACAAGGGCTATCTATCCCTTTTAGCCAAAGTGGAAAAAAAAACATGCATGCACTATCTTTCATCAGTGGTTTAATTCTTAGATTTAATTGCTGTTTTTTAAAAGTACCAGTGGCCTTTATAAATACAATGCTGGACTCAAAGAAATCTAGTGCCAAAGTTAAACTAGCACTACAGAAGTGGGTGGGGCGCTAAAAATTATCCCCAGAGTCGAGTCACTGATATAACAGCTTCATGCATTAGTCATTTTTTGCCTAAATAAATCACTTCATTTGAAGCTATAAAACGCTTTTCTAGTTCTGTCCAGGTTTATTAGTTATAACTATCTGTAAAATTACCTTTTCTTCATTAACCAGAAGTATTTGGCTGTGCTATAAAAGTTTACAGGAATGACAGGGTAAATACTAAATTCCTCTCGCTGACAATTTTGTGTATAGGAGGTTGAGAACCATCACATGCAGTGCCTGGCAACATTTTATTTATTCATTTCAGGTGTTACTTGTTTTTTTCCTCTTTATAGATCTTCATGCAACAGAACAAATTCCTAAGCATAAGACAGTGCATTTCCTAGTAGCTACTCCCTATTTAAAAACCAAATAAGTGAAACTTTGAAATTATTACCCCAAGTTTCGGCATGTTGGATCGCCTCAGTCGACCTATCTTGGACCAGTAAGGAACTTTGCACACATTAATTCTTTGCAGTAGCACTTCCAGTTCAAAACCACAAATATTATGACCCTAGTCAGAAAGAGACAGCCAATCACATAACGAACACAAATTAGAAGATTTGTCTTCAAATGCACAGAATTTCTTTGCCCTTTCTTGCTCTGGTCTCTAATTGAAAACATCAAGAGCTTACCTCCAGTTGTGGTCCTTCCTCCTTCAGGAATTTATTCATCAGCAGCATTCATTAGTCTTGACATTAACTAAGCAGCTAAGGAGATTGCTAGAATAAACTTTATTTTATACTAACTGATGCAAAATTCATATGGTATCTTTTCATCAAAATTCATATGGTATCTTTTCACTTACCACTTAAGTCTTGCAATGTTGGAGGGAAATGCAAATTTTAATGTCCTATACCTTTTACGTGATCAATGAAAGCATCCTTAAAGAGAAAACCTGTGTTGTATACATTCACACAGGACTTTTAAGAAACTCTATTCAATTTCTTTAAAAACTGAGCATGAACACTACTACTTTGGAACTTTAATCAATGTGCAACAAAATATAAATACTAGTGAATAGTTTGAAAAACTTAAAAGCAAGGAAACAAACTAAACAGTAGTAAAGTTATAGGTCTAGAGAGATGGCTCACGGGTTAAGAGCACTGGTTGCTCTTACAGAGGACCCGGGTTCAATTCCCAGCAACCACATGGTGGCTCATAACCATCTATACTGGGATCTATGCCCTCTTCTGGCATAAAGTCAATAGAGCATTCATATACATACAATAAATAAATCTTTAAAAAATAGTTAATACAATCCAAGTATTCATTTCTATAATTTCTAATTTGAAAATTTGAAAATTTTGCACATAGCTAGGCTTAATAAAAATCAGAGGTGGTATCAAATAATTCAGATCAATCCATAGATTATTAATTTTAATTAGAGATATATACCACCACTTAACATAAACAAAATCTTAGAGACAGAAAGTAGAACCAGTAGTTGGCAAGGTCTGGAGAAATGGGGAAATAATGATCTAAAGTAGTGCTTCTCAACCTTCCTAAAGCTGTGACCCTTAAATATAGTCCCTTATGTTGTGGTTAACCCAACCATAAAATTATTTTTATTGCTACTTCATAACTGTAACTTTGCTACTGTGATGAATCATAATGTAAATATCTGTGTTTTCCAACTGTCTTGGGCAATCCCTATAAAAGGGCTAACTCTCCCCCCCCCCCGCCACCGCCCCAAAGGGTCAAAACCCATAGGTTGAGAACTACTGGTTGAGAACTACTGGTCTAGAGTTTTAATTTTAAAAGATAAAGAGCTACAATGATAGCAACAGAGTAATAATGGAGGTGGTGACAATTACACGTTATGAATGCATACAGCACCAGTGAATCTACATTTAAAGGTGGACAAGATGACCAATTTTAGGTTAGAAAAGGTTACCACTCTATGAATTAATATAATACATAAATTCACATATCTGTATATTTATGGCAGTTTATCTATTAATAAAAGACCAGAAGGACAAGATAGAAACTTATTTCTAAATTATTAAGGCTGGGGTCTCACAAGGATCATATCTTACTTCTGGATTTGTCATGTACTTGTCTCTAATATGTTAGGCTGGGTATTCAAGTCTCAGTAACATCTACTTGGGATTCAACAAACTGTTTTTAAAGGGTGTGTAAGTGTCTACTGCTAAGTCACAGCACTATAGATAAAATCTTCTTGATACTTTAGAAACAGACCCTGAAATAACGTAAAATTATGCAGACTTTGGCAACAATCCATACACAGACATAAGCAACAGTACTACCAAATAAGGTATCCAATAGGAAAATTAGGTTGAAGACACAGTAAACATTCCCCTGTCTCTTTTTTCTGACCAGTGTTGATCATAGAACCAAGGACCTGGAACTTCCACATAAGCACTCTATCACTGAGCAATATCCCAAGTTTCTCCATTTTTTTCTCAAATGTCTAAGTATCTCTAATTTGACATCAAAAGGTCAAAAGTAATTTGACATCAAAAGTAATTGATGTAACCAATTACTATCACGTTTAAAATATAAGAATTGATAGCCTACCTACTGCTGAAAAAGCAAAAACAGTATAATTTGATTGATCCATTAACCCAGACAAGAGAAAAAAAGAATTCAGATCAAGGAGCATCTAAACTAAGGAAGGTCAGAGGATAAAAAGGAAAAGGTACAAACCAACAGCAAATTACTAGCTACACAGTCCATTGAGAATACAGCAAATTGTCAAGTGAAAAAAATAAAAAATACTCTACCCCTGAGCTCTCAGAGAGCTCCACCAAGCTCTTAAAATTAAAATATTTACTTTTGTATTGTAATTTGTCCCAAACCAAGCAAATCAATTAGAATTCTGAAGATATTAGCAATTTATATATTTTTACGTATCAAGTGTACTACAAGAATCTAGCAATTTATATATATTTGCTTACTAATGTGCTACTTTCTAAATGTAGGTAAGTGAATATCCTGAGCTGACTACTAATTCAAGAGCTGTTTTTACACCAGGAAAAACTACCTAGTATGGGCTAGGACTATCCTTCCTTAGCTAGATGAACAAATCTCACCAATACATGGGGTCATTTAATTCTGAAAACATCCTTTAATATTCAAAAGTAAATCACCAATAAAAAGTAAATAGCCAGAAAAGAATAAAGGAATGAAAACACTTCCCCAAGACATGAGCAAACACCTACTCACCACAAGAATATCAGGGTCAATTTTGTGAACTTTTGCAAGGAAAAATCCTAGCAAAGTTCTTTCTGTTGCAGCAACCTCAACCTTCATATTCTGTTAACGTAAAAAAAAAAAAAAAAAAAAAAAAAAATCAATCAAGATTTTAAATCACCGCATGGCTTATCTTCTTGCCCAACCAGGGTAAGACTGATTTCTTAGGGTTAAATATAATCATTCACTTCAAAACCAGACAGCAATGAAACTTCTGATTCCAGGTTTTGCATAATAATAACCACACACAAAATCTCTGAGGACCTCATTCTAGTAATATGCATGTAAATCAAGCAGAAATTTAAGTGCTAGGCAACATCAAGAGCAGAAATGTCCTTCCACAGAGACATGTTTGTACATTGGACACATTTTAAAGCACATAAATCAGAGTGCCTTTCAAAAACATTACTTTCTTTGCTATCTAATCCCTGGAAGACTTTGCTGTTTATGCATTTATCAAAGAAATCCCAAGGATTCTATAAACTAATCTCAAACAGCAGTGTGTGAAAAACAACAAATAAGAAACCAAAACAAACATGTACTAAAGAATTGCAATGTCTTAAATAGAAATATCTAGCCTCATACAAAAGGCCTCAACTTGGATTAGTGAGTAGCTATCTGGTACACAAAACTGCTCATATTAAAACACTTTTAAAACAAAGGTGGATGAGTACTATATTTTCTAAAACTAGCTCAGTTTTTTAAAGTGTCAGATTGATTTTAAGGGAATTTTCCTAGGTCATTTCATTTGAATAGGTAATTTAGGACAGTTCACAAATGACATTAATAATAACCCCTACCTATAAGAAGCCAATTGAAATAGAATTAAGTGAACCTGACAGACTGCACCATCTAATTTTGTCAAGTGAGGATATTAATGAACAAAATAAACCTACAACTGTTTCAACACTATCATTTCAAAAAAAATGTACTATTCAAAAGCTACATCCTTTAGAGTAAATGCATTTATTTTTATAAAGAACTCAGATCATTATACTGCTTCCTCCTGTCCTTTTATTAAAGACTTATAATACCAACTTCATAGAACATACTGGAGTCAGAAATCACCAATGTGTTTGCGTCAGAAAACACCAACCCTGTCAGTACATGACTTTTTAATACCCACAGCACTCCCAATTCTACATCATTTCCCTCAAGTTGGAGAAGAGCTCTACCCAACATAATCCCAAAATATGTGATCACTTTGGAAAAGCTTCCATATACACTAACTGAAGGTAGGTTTAAATGTATCCATGTCATAATTCCATCATCTTCAGAAATTAATTTAAGAATTATTAAACATGTTTAATATTATATTCCTAATTCATTTTATCAAGTAATTACTATAGTCCAATATACCATAATAGATTTAATAAAGTAAAATATTTTCATATTCTCTTTCCAAACAAACAGATATTCTACATTTAAAGGGAATGAGTATTTACCTTTCTCTTAATGACTTCTTTGAAAGCACATGGGAAAATACAGTCCTTTGGTTTAGACACAACTATAGGAAGGAAAAAACAAGACTATCACTCACCTTAGACCAATTACAGATACTACATACATCTAAATGGAAATTGCTTTAAATATAATTTTTCATGAGCCCTAAAGATTGAATATCAAGATCTCCAATCAGCTAAGTTGTTGGACCACAAAATAATAGCCAAAAAGAGATCTTTCTATGTCTCTATAACTAAACAAAATACTTTGTGCAAGCATTTGTTTTCCATCCAAGTTAGAATGGAAGAGTATACTAATCTTTCCCAAAGGAAATCTAAATACCACCAAAGCCTCAACCAGAATAAAACAGAGAAACTTAGTTCTATCTTCTCAAAATTGAGAGTTACACTGGATCAAGGTTTCCCCTTCTATACCAAAGGCATGTCCCATTCATAACAGGCATTCACACAGTGAAATATACAGAGGGGGTAAATAAATGCATGCTGAAATTATTCAACAACTATTCTCTTCCATGTATTTCCCAGGCTATTATTGGTATTACTAATACTCAGAAAGTCAGACCAATAGACTGTTCAAAAGAATCTCTGCTTCTGGAATAGAAAAGAACCCAGGAAATATAAAATGCGTTCTTACTTTCTTTTTAAAGAAAATGCTTATTTAATCAACCAAGAACTGAATATGGACTGTTGACAAGACTCCTTGAACACCAACTCACAAAATACACACATACCTCATTCTATGGAACTGCTGCACCCATTGAATTTTATACATAACACAATTCAATTCCAGTTTGGCAATACTATAATGTCTCACAAATAGGTAAAAATTCATTTATTCCTGGACATTTTGTCTCATTACATAGATTTTGCACAATTAAACTCAAGGGTCTACAGCGTAAGTCAAACATCTTTACTAAAATGCCCTTACTCTCAAAAACAAGTTTCAAAAGACAAAGTTCCTGATCACACAAAGAAAAGTCAAATCAGAAAAGAAAAATCAAACTATTAAGCAACACAACATTAAAAATACATACCACAAAAATGTGTTTGAAAGGGAGGCTTTGGAGGTGCTTTATCTAATGCAAAGCCATGATGGACCAGAGCTGCGATAGCAATAATCTGCAAAGAAAGGAGTGGGGAAAATTAGACACCTAGTAGGTTTTGCATTACCACAAGAACAACTGGGAACCATGAAATGTACTTTAATACATATAAATTCTTTTTACTTTTTTAAAAAAAGTATTTAAAGCTCTAACAAAGGGTTAGTATCTACAACATAGAGAGAACCAAGCACCAAGAAAATAAATAACTAAAAATTGGGGCTTGGAACTAAATAAAATTCTAAGAAGAAGAAATACAAAATGGCTGAGAAGTATTTTTTCAAATGTTCAACATCCTTAGCTATCTGGGAAATGCAAATTAAAACTGTGATGTCCACTCACTGATAAATGAATACTGAAAATGTGATACATACACACAATGGTATATTATAAAATTCTCAGGCAACAGACAGAGCTGGAAATAATCATTCTGAGTGAGTTAACCCAAACCCCGAAAGACAAAAATGCAGTGTTTAAATCAGAGTAGTCATAGACAGCAGAAAACTAGTAAGTAGCCAAGGGGGTAGATTTCAAGGGCAGTGAGACAGAACTCAGGTAATATGAAAGGGAAAGAAGGAATAACTGAGTGGGAAGGGTTAAACATGGTGGGCAATGGGAGACCAGGGAAAGGACAAAATATATGGAGGTTAACTAACACTAAAGGCATTTGAAAAAGCCATATGGGAACCTACTACTGTAGAAGTTCTCTGTAATATGAACTTACATATAACAAAAAAGGAGTTCAAATGGAGTTTCTCTATTACCAGTGGATAATGCCTGTCCCAGATACCAAAGGATATCAAATACAAAGCCCAGTGTCGATATAGGTTGCCTCTTTTCAAGTTATTGGTTAATGGGATCCCATGTATCACCCCCAAATATTATAGGTTATCACTAATAATCTTGGTTATACTCCAAAACTTGACAGTTAGACCCTATTGAAAATGACAGCACATACCTGACTCACAAAACATGAAAAAAAGGTGTTACCAACCTGTAAGTTTTATCCATAAAAGCTAGCGTTAATAGTGCCAGAAGGTTCTATTTATGCTACTTGGGAAGAAAAGTAATGAACACTCTTATGCAGCTACAGTAACTACTCTGGCAAGATTTGCCCATTGGTACAATAGTGATATTATCTTATTTAGGATTTCTATTGCTGTGATAAAACACCAGAACCAAAAGCAACATGGGGAAGAATGAGTTTATTTCAGCTTACATTTCCAGATAATAGTCTATCACTGAGGAAAGTCAGGGAAGGAACTAAAAGCAGGAACCTGAAGGCAGGAAATGAAGCAGAAGCCATGAAGGAATGTTACTTACCTGCATGCTCTGTTATGGCTTGCTCAACCTGCTTTCTTATACAACTCAGGACCAACCTAGTCAGAGGTCCATTTGTCTAGGGGAAATGCATATACCCAATCCCTACCACCACCCACCACCCCTCCATCCCAAACTAGGCCCACACACACAAATCATTAATCAAGAAATGCCCTATTGACTTGCCTACAGAGAATGTAGATGGAGATATTTTCTCAATTTTGGTTCCTCTTCCTAGATAACTACCTTGTGTGGAATTGGAAAACAACAACGAAACAGAAACAATACAAAAAAAAAAAAAAAAAAAAAAAAAAACAAGAACTCTCCAGTACATATATGAATGTTACAGGAGTAACCAGTCACTTTCTGATTGGATTTTAAGCTTGATATATAAGACAGACCTCAAGATTGGTACTGTCCATTGACTGGGCTGTGAATCCCTGGCTAGCTATGTCATAGGCCCTACGGGAAAACCTGATACTATTATTCTGCTAAATGGAAATAATATTAGACAGCCCCTCACAAGTTCTTAATACCTAAAGAATAGTGCATCCAATAGAAATCCAAAACTAGTCAAAGTGCAGAGAATAAGAGGCTGTGGGGTGCTCACCTCTAAATGGACATCTACATCACAGCTTATTCCTCAAGGCTCAGGGATCATTGCAGAAGAGTGGGAAGAAAGATTCTAAAAGCCTACGGTAGTTTGAATGCAATTGGCTCCCATAACAAAGGGAGTGGCACTGTTAGGAGGTGTGTGTTAGGAGTGGCACTTTGTTAGAGTGGGTATGACCTTGTTGGAGGAAGTGTGTCATTGTGGGGCTGGGATTTGAGGTTTCATATGCTCAGGCTACCACCTAGTACATCAGTCAACTTTCTGTTGCCTGCAAGATGTAGGACTCTCAGCTATTCCAGCACCATGTCTGCCTGCATACCACCATGCTCCCCACCATGATGATAATGGACTGAATCTCTGAAACTGTAAACCTGCCATGCCAATTAAATGTTTTTTGATAAGAGGTGTTGTGGTCACAGTGTCTCTTCACAGCAATGAAAACGCTAAAAGCTAGAGACAGTGACTGTCAGCATTGAAACATTATTTGCTGGACATGACAGGCCACTGTACACATGAAGACAGTGGCTATAACTGCACATACAAAATCTGCCCAAGAACAAACCAGCCAGTTTTTTTTTTTAAGGGATGCAGCCTTTGAAAGGCTAACCTTGTTCCAGTAGATGGAACTCTACTGGTGCATACACAGGCTAAGTGAACACAGAAAAATAGAGAGAACACATACAAGTTGAGAGGGAAGCATGGTGGGGCAATAGGAGAGGAACTGGAAGAAGGGAATGAGGATGTGGATTTAATGAAAACACATATGCATGCCTAAGAGATTCCCAATGGAAAAAAGGTGTGTGTGTGTGTGTGTGTGTGTGTGTGTGTGTGTGTGTGTGTGTGTGTGTGTGTTACATGTGTGCAGGCGCTCATGGAGACTACAAAAGGATCTTAGATCCTCTGGAGCTGGAGTTACAGGTAGCTGTGAGCTGCCTGACATGGGTGCTAGAAAGCACACTCAGGTTCTCTTCAAGAACAGCATGGATTGCTGTTAGGCCATCTCTTTAGGCTCTTCTAACTTTTATTGGGAAAATATTTAAGCAGATTTAAATTTGAGTAAAAATTATTCAAATTAATTCCCATATACTCACACTCAGGTTTCAATTATCATTTTCTCCTAGAACTGTTTCAGTATGAAACTTTGAAAGTGTTTTTCAACCTTAGTACTACTGATATTTTGGGTCAAATAATTCTTTATCATGAGGGCTGTCCAGTGCACTATACAATGTTAGGACTAACTCACTAGGTACTAGTATCGTCATCCTTGTTTCCCACATATCTCTGAGTCATACCAACCCAAAACATCACTCCACATTGACAAGTACACCTTCAATAGAAAAATGTTACCCTGTCAAAAACCATCACTCTAGCAGGAGGAAGGACCTAGACCCTACTCCAAATGACTTAACAGATTTTGATGATCTCTCCTGGAAGGCACCACCCTCCCTGTGGAGTGGAGGGGAATGAGATGGGAGTGGGGTTGGGGGATATGGGAGGGAGGGAGGGAGGGGAGAAGGAAGGGAGAGGAAACTGGGATCAATATGTAAAATAAGAAAAAAAATAAATATATATAATAAAAACATCACTCTAAAAGACGTTTTAAAATTTAGTAATTTTTTTTTAAATCTGTGTGTATCTCTGTGTACCGTAAGATGGTAAGACCCTATTACAAAAGACACCCCATACTTGAGACTTAGGATATAAAAGCAAAAAAAAAAAAAGATCAAAGTGGTAAACCAATGGAAGTTTCATTCATACAGGCCAGCTTTAAAAGTGCCAGAAGGGTCTATTTATAATACTAATGGAGAAAAATATTGAACACTCTTACCCAGCTGCGAACCCTAAAAGCTAGTGGACTGGAGGTCACAGTATGCACAGGATTTCCTAGGGCTGGAGTTACAGTTAGTTGTGAGCTGCCATGTGGTGCTGGGAATTGAACTTTGATACTCTGGCTGAGTAGTCAGTACTCTGGCCATCTCTCCAGCCCCTGACAGTTTGTATCTCAATAGGGTTATTTAATTCTTTCTCCTATCTCTGTAATGTCTACAAATTCAGTTAGATCAAAAGATTTGCTCAAAACCAGGTTCAAATTTCGGGCAAGATTTTAGATGTGCTATTCCTATTAGAAGGCACTCAAGCCTGCTTCTGTTTTAGTAGTATTAGTGGTAACTAATGCTCACTACTTAAACCAGTGGTTCTCAACCTTCATTATGCTATTAGTTTTTAATACAGTTTCTCATGTTGTGATAACCCCCAACTGTTGTGGGATATATGTGCCCTGTGTGAAGATGTATTGTACTAAAGAGCTGAATGGCAAATAGTTAGGCAGGAGAAGATAGGCAGGATTTCTGGCATAATGGCAGGGATGAATCTAGGTGAGTGGGAGTCTCCGTATAGAGAAGAGGTAAGGAACAACATGCCAGAATGTAGATTTTAAAATATGAGTTAATGTAAGTTAAATTAACTACTTAGGAAAAAGCCTAAGCTAAGGCAAAGTTTTCATAGTTAAAAGCAAATCTCCAGGTCATTATTTGCGGACTGGCAGTCCAAATATAGTTTGATAAGAAAGCTTTTTACACCAACTGCAAAATTATTTTCTTGTTACTTCAAACCTGTAATTTTGCTACTGGTAGGAATCACAATGTATCTGACAAGCAGAATGTATGACATGTGACCCCCCAAACAGGTTTGCAGTCAACAGGTTGAGAACTGACTTAGACCCATTTCACAAGGGATTGCAAATCGGTAATTTTTCCTGATCATGTACTGAAAGCTTCTAAGAGCAATTCCATACTTCAATTAGCTGGCTTCCAGGACACCTTATGCCAGAAAAGTCAGGACAAATACTTGATTCATTCACTTTTATGTTTTTCAAATGAGTTAATTCCCTAGCTTTCCTCATAAAGTGACTAATGTGCTAGTATTATTTGACATTTATGTATTTATTATAAATTAGGAACTTCTGTATCTGATATTTCCATCTGTGGCAATTATTCTTCAGGTCCTCATACTGTCCCACATTTTGCAAGAGGGAGACTTTTCAGTTTGTTTCCTGAGTCATATGTAACTTTAGTAAACTTCAATATTGCCCTTGTTTTCTGATATAACAAAGTGTTCCAGGTTTATCTTACACATTTTCTGCTCGGAATCAGCCTTTTCTCCACAAAGACTTATTCACTTTGTTAAGAAATGGTACATGAGCTGGGTCTTGGTGGCGCACACCTTTAGTCCCAGCACTTGGGAGACAGAGGCAGACAGATCTCTGTGAATTAGAACCCAGCCTGGTCTACAAGAGCTAGTTCCAGGTCAGGCTCCAAAACTACAGAGAAACACGGTCTTGAAAAACAAAAACAAAAAAAAAGAAAAGAAATGGAAAATGAAAGGAAAGGTACATGAAAACATCACTTTGGGAATGGATATTTCTCTTAATTTGAACAAGTATGAATTAAACTTTTCCTCAATGCTTAAAAAATTATCTCTGGCTATCTACTATGTTAACTGTTACCTGAAGACCAAAGGCAGGGAGCAGAGTTCAGTGCTAAAATGATATTATCATGTGCAAAATCTGGAGTCAATCCTCAATACTATCAAAAATAAATAAGTAAATGAACAATTAAATAAAATTTCAAATCATATAGTAAAACAAAATATTACCAAATGTTATTTTTTAAAACATAAGTATCAAAAGACTTAGAAGCATACATAAAGGAGCTTTGATTAATCAAAGTAAGGCAAGTATGCCTTGAGTGAGTATAGGTAGGGCAGTAGTCCTGTAGTCAAGGCCATTTGTGAGACTGGGGTGGAATGAGTTCAGTAGCCCATACATTCAAGACCTGGGCAACATAGTAAAACCCCAAATTTAAAAGTAATAATAATGAATGCCATAGATTAAAAATACCAAATAAATATGCCACAAGTAACAGGACAGCAATTGTTGAGGGGGCAAAGGTGCCATTCACCAAGCCTGACAACCAGAGTTCAATCTTTAGGATACAGAGGAAAATGAGAACTATGTCCTGTAAATTGTGCTCTAATCTCCATATACATGCTGTGACATGTGTATCTCTGTGTGCACATACACAGAGACAACTGCCTACAAATATAATAAAAAATTGGAATTTGAAAAAATTTATATTAAAAATACAAAATATAAGGACACCACAAACGCATAAAATCTATGTGTAAAAAAGTCAAAACAGAAACAAATAAAGATAACTGATACTTTAAGTTCCCAACCTCCTACTCTGAAAATCTGCAATGAAAGCATTTACCCTGTTGTTCCTGTACAATGTAATCAAATAATTTCCAGTTTTTACAGAAAAAAATAACTCATAAACATGGACATAATTACAAAGCCACCATTTTACACCATTTTACAGCTCCTAGTGAAATAACAAACTCAGGCAAAAATAACGTACATAAGTAGTGGCTCTCTACTGGGGTAAATTTACCTCCTTTTCCCTCTGAGTAATATGTAGCAATGGCTGTAAGAATTTTTCAGTTGTCACAATTAGGAGGAAGTAGAGCTACCTGAATCTAGGAGGTAGAGGCCAGAGACACTGTTAAACATCCTGTAATGCATACATAGGACAGTGCCTCACAATAAAGAACCATCCATCCCAAAACATTTGTAGTGGCAAGGTTAAAAAACTTTATGAAAAGCTCATGAAACAATTTATCATGACCACTATTTGAACCCATTAATCAATACCAGCCTCACTGCAATTTAACCAGGTACTGTCTGCCTTCTGAAATGATCCAATATGAAGTGCACTGCCACCTACCCATGAATCATTCTGCATAAAAATTTGAACCTGAATCTATTTGTTACTTTAGAGTTAATGTGACAAACTGTAGCACAAAGGGCAGAACTGAATTTGGCACATTGTCTCTATAAGGGCCAGAAAGGAAATATTTTAGGCTCTTCAGACCATATGACCTGTCATTACTATCTGATTGTTATTGTAGTGCAGATCTGAAAACCTACTGTGTCTCAATAAGATTTTATTTACAAAAACAGGTGGTAGGCTGAATTCAGCTCACAAGCTACTCTGTCAGCATCAGGAATAGAAAATTCCTAATGGTTACAACAGACACACAAAAAATGGGACTTCCTATGAGCTTATCATCAGTGGTTTTTTGATTATTCCTTATCATTGAAAAAGCTGAAGGGGAATGGCTATGAGCTACTGCCATTTAAAAAGAGATTCAAGAAGCATAAAAATTAAATGTTCGTCTATGAATCTATTATGTAAATCTGGATTCAAAAACTCAACTTTAAAAAAAAACATCTTCCAACTATGTGCTAGAAACTGTAGATGGTATCAAGGAATCATAAGTTAATGTTAAATATGCTAATAGTATAATATAAGAAAGTGTGAATTTAGTAAGGCTAGAGAGATGTCAGTCAGTTAAGTGCTTGCCAGGTAAGTGTGAGGACTTGAGCTTTGATTCCAAACATAAAAAGCCAGATATGGTGGCATGTATTAGTAACCTCAGTGCAAGGAAATAGGCAAATCCCTAAAGCTCCTGGGCCAGACTGAGTAGCAATAGGATTGATGAGTTTCACATTCAGTGACAGACTGTCTCAACAAATAATGGTAGAGATAGCAAAGTAAACACCCAATGTTGATCTCTCGCTTTCACATGCACAAACATACATGCACACTTATGCATCCCCTTACTAACAAATACATATACTACAAATACATATATGGAGAATGTGCATATTTTGAGAGAAATATACCAAAGCACACTGGGGTAAAATGACAGTGTCACAAAACACTGCTAATTGCTATAACACATGTGACTGGCATAAGGAGCTCATATTATTTTCTGTGTCTACTTAAAAAAACAAAAATCAAAATATTTCCAGCAATTTAAATTCTTTAAAAAAAATGTGGAATACCAGGCAAATTCAATTCATTCTCTAAAACACGGCTCAGAGCCATGTTTGTACCCTTTCCCCTCCAAAAAGAACAACTTGTTTTTATAGAAAGCAGATCAAATTCAGGCAAGTATTATATCTAAGGCATAAGTACAAAATCTGCCATTTTCGTTACCTCATGCTGGTGGTTTTTTATATTTTGCATTGTCTTCATGCTGAAAGACATTACCACAAGTGGAGGAGGACTGACATCTTTAATTACATTCACCAGGTCTGGTTTCAAAGCCACTGCCTCAAATTTACACCAACTGATTGGTTGCTTCAAGAGCTCTGAGAAAGAACAGATACAACATATCAATAACTTACTGAAAAAGAAAAGGTACTATAATGATGACATCTTTGATTAACAGAGATAGTCTTCAAAGCTACTGTCTAAGAATGACAAAACATAACATCTAACTAAATATAAGCCACATTAGTGGGTAGTATGCTAATCCTTGTGTGTGTGAATATATGTATGTTCACTGGGGGGAGTAAGGGAGAATCAATAGATTTTACATTTTTTTTCAAATTTATAAACTTTAAAAGTAGCAGCTGCCTTAGAAGAAGTGAAAACATTTCAAAGAGATGTATGAAGACAAAATAGTATCCTAGATAAAAGTGCTAAAAAGATCAGGTAACAAGCTGAAGAGTACTGTCCACGTTAGGCTGTAATGTGATTCTCTCCCCTCCAAAGGTCAGGAGTTCATGCTGGAGAACAGCTGCACCCTATCAGCCAGGCTAATAAAAAACATACCAAAAAAAAAAAAAAACAAAACCAAAAACTCAAAACATAATGAGGGTCACATCCCATACAACTCTGCATTAAGACCTCCCTTAGACTAAATTGTCAGGTATTAGAAAGTGATTCCAAGTGTATTACATATAATCACTCAAGGAAAACATTCAAGAAACAAACATAAAAAAAGAAGTAGAAAGATTAAAATGAATAGATCAATTCCTTAACATCCCTTAAAAAAAAATCTACAGAGGGTCCGATGAAAATCCCCAAACAACCCAAGCTGTTGCTAAAAGGGCTGCTGTCTGCAAACTGACAGCACAGCCCCATTGTCAGGACAATACCCATACAACACATTGTTGTGTCTTTGGTGTAGGAAGGTACTCTACAGGTTACCAAAAGAAAAATGTGGACACTGACCCAGTCCCAAAACCTTTGACCTACAATCTATTCTGCCTGCAAAATATGCTAAGGCAATGGTGGCATAGAATTTATGGGACTAGCCAGCTGCTATCTGATTTGATCTAAGGCCCACTCCTCAAGAAGGAACCCATACCCAACACAAAGTAACCAAGAACCAGAGATTAGGTAGCCCAGAGACCTATGGTAAGGCCAAACACTAATGATCAAAACAAAAATCAATAATGACCCCTAAGCATATTCTGCTATATTATTAGATCAGTGCCTTATCCAGTCATCATATGGCTTCCTATGACAGCAGATGAGAACACAGCCAGACATTATGCAGAGAAGAGTCTAAATGGGAGGTCTCCATCAAATACCTACTCCCACCTGCGGTTATTATAAGATCCAGAGGAGATGGAGGACCCCAGAAAAACAAGACTCTCTAATCAACTAAGCAAGGCACACATGAGCTCACAGAAACTGAATCAGCAAACACAGGATCTGCTTGAGTCTGTACCTGGTCCTCTGCATTTATATTATAGCTATTAGCTTAGTATTTATATGGGACTCTTGACTATGAGAACAAGTGGAAATCTGACTCTTGTGCCTGCTATTAGGACTGTTTTTGTCCTGTTAAGTTACTATGTCCAACTTCAACATGACAGTTTTGGCTTCATCTTATTATATTTTATTTTATCATGTTTGGTTATTTCTTAGAAGCCTGTTCTTTTCTAGTAAGAGACAGAAGGGAAGTGGCTCTGGAAGAGACAGGAGGTAGGGAGGAACTGGGAGGAGCAGAGGGAGGAAAAACTATAATCAAGATATACTACATGAGGGAAAAAAAAGTCTGTTTTCAATAAAAGGGGAAAAAGTGAAAAAACATCTGTCAGTAATCTACTTAGTACTTTTCCTTACGTGGATTTTTTACTTCAAGCCAACAAGGTCCTTTGATCTTTCTGTTCATCAAGAATAGTTCCAAGCCAGACGTGTTGGTTCCAAATACATGAGAAAATGTTTCACCTTTTAAATGCTGTGGAAGTGGTGGCATTTCCGCCTGAAGAAGAAAAAAAACTTTATTTTGTTTAAAACTATTACCTCACATTTTCCAGTCTATATTTGAAATAAAGAAAGCCTCTATGGAGCAACAGAAGAATCCTTTTGATATATATGAAATGTAATTTGCCAAAAATGAAATCTGAAACAATTCACAGTGGGAAACAAAAACAATTCATGATGACAAAATAATGCATCTAACCCTGTTAGAAGAAAAATAGGGCAAGAAGTTCCCCTAAAAGAGAATCTCTGTCCAGAGCTGTTCTGCCTCACTGATAAAGAATAGCAAGTTAAGTAGCACTCCATTGTAAGAATAAAAGCAACAGGGAGCTAGAGAAATGACTCAGTGGTTAAGAGCATTGACTGCTCTTCCAGAGATCCTGAGTTCAATTCCCAGCACCCACATGGTGGCTCACAAACATCTGTAATGAGATCTGGTGCCCTCTTCTGGCAGGCATGCATGTAGACAGAATACTTACACACACACAAAAAAAGAATGAAAGCAATAGAATGGGACTCACTGAAGATGTGTCCATGTTATTTTTCCTTCATAATTTCCTTTTTTTTTTTTTTTGGTTTTTTAAGACAGGGTTTCTCTGTGTAGCCTTGGCTGTCCTGGCACTTGCTCTGTAAACCAGGCTGGCCTCGAACTCACAGAAATCACCTGTCTATACCTCCCAAGTGCTGGGATTAAAAGCATGCATCACCACCACCCAGCCAGCCCATGTTAGTTTTCACTATCATCACTGTCAAAACAAATTCATTTTCCAACATCAGGATCAAAACACAAGAACAGAGATGAAAGGGTAACGGTCTGGCTAGTAAATACCCACAGAATGACTTTGCCTCTCAGAAGACAAAGAACAGCACTGTAGCAATTCTGCATTCCTCTCACCTTTCCTCTGCTCACAAGACATTTCAGTAGACTGAAGATGTCTAACCCCACCATGCAGCATATCTATTCCACTTGACAAACAGTTGTGGCCTTTCAACTTACTTATTTGAAGACATAAACTTGAAAGGCAGTATAGCCTATGCCCTATTACTTAATTTTATAAATTTCAATTATTAATGAACTGTGGGCTTCAGGAAACTGTGAGGAGGCTGAGGTGTGAGGAAGCTGGGGTGTGAGGAGGCTAGGGATATAGCTCAGTGGAACAGTGTTGCCTGGCATACACTGAGACCATGGATATAATCCCAGCCCCTTAAAAAGAGGACATAGAGACCTTAAATATATTAAAGAAGCTGGTGGTGATAGCACATGCCTTTAATCCCAATACTCAGTTTTCTGGTGGCAGAGGCAGGTGGATTCAAGGCCAGCCTGAGCTACAAATAGAATCCCGGAACAGCCAGGATTACATCAGTTGAAGGTTCAAAGATGGGAAAATGTCATTCTAAACCAAGCCCCCCCCCCCCCGCCCAGTTTTCTTTGTTTAACTTACCGAGTATCTGACTTCCAAGTACTCAGATTTTTCCGGAACATCAGGTATCTCAAAAGCATAGTTCTTTTCCACTGTCTGGGTAAGCAAATATTGAAAATATTATCAGGAGAAAAAATTCACAAAAATCAAGTTGGCCAGTATGATACACATATAATATTTGTTTCCATATTTAATCATCAGGAATCTAACAGAACACTAAACAAAAGACAGCTTTTTCTCCCTTCAACTAATACTAAATCACCTACTGACAAAAATACTAAAGTATAGCTCTTGAACATAGAGAATTTAAGAAATAGGTGCATTCAATGGAAACAATACAGATTGATTTCCTACAATGTTAATGCACTAAATTATTGGCACTATTTGAAATTAAGCAACTGTCATCTTGCTGGAAAATGAAATTGACATTATAAATTCAGCTCATATGCAGTGAGTATTGGTTATGTATTAATAATTATTATAGTATGAATTATCACCTAATATGAATTAAGTGATTAACTCTGCAACTTTTGCAATATGGCCCCTTTCTCAGCACAGAAAACTGACTGCATTTTCCATAGTTGCATACTAGTACACACAGGGCAAAGCCTGAAAGCACAAGCAATCCAGCATTTACTTTCTTTACTATCATGGTATACTGCTTCTAAAATTTTTGTTTTGGAGTTTCTTGTTGCTGTCTGTCTATAGTGATGGATATCAAACTTAGGGCTTTGTATACTATTTCTTGATTTGACTCTAAATTTCAAGTTTAAATAATTAAAAGTGTTAATATAGCTTCAGCAACTCAATCCTCCCTTTACTGCAATCATACTGTATACTGCAATCATACTGTATTTTCTAATGGACTAGAATTCTCACATTTATAGCTAAAGTTATAATAGCTTACCAAAATCAATACAATATACCACACAAGTCACACAAAGAAAACATTTTCATCCTCTTACAATCAGTATCATAGGCATGGATTTTTAAAGACAAAGCCTTACTCATCTTGTTAAGCAAAAATGCATTGGCAATAACTAGTATAAACAAATCAATAGTTTCTTCATTTCAAAAAAGGAATGCATGATATACTTCGAGTACTGGAAACAACTAATTTACTTCAAATCATCTTTCTATTCAAATTCATGACCATTATTTCATAAGTGATTTTAAAAGAAACAAAGTAGTTTTGCAAATCTAACATACTGTTTTTACATTTATACCTATGAAATTTCCATTTAATGAGTTACAACTATGCAGAAGGCATTATGTATGCATGTGCAGTTAACTATTTGCCAAATCAGGAAGTAAACAAGTTCCAGAAAAAATAAAGTATCTAATACAAACCTTGGACTTGAACTTCATTATTTTATATTTTGCTGCAATTTTTGAGTCAAATTCTTCATAAACATCCTTCATTGTAACTGGAGTTGTTGTTTCTTTCCCTGTGTTTAGGTCAATTTTCTATTCTCCCATAGAATGAAGGGAAAACAGTATAAGTCTTCTCATCCATAAAAAACAGAAGCTTAAATCAACTTTCAACTCCACTCATTTTAAACATTGACTGCCACAGTCTTAAATGAGTTTGAAGACATAGACCTAAAAAGTAAACTAAATCCAGTGCCAAATCCCTCCAGTTCATTATAAAAGCCAATCAGAAATAAAGACAACCAATCCAACACAATGGCTAAAATAAATGTTTTAAATCCTGGCCCAAAAGTTCCACAGTTCAACTAAGATGGAAAAGGGCAAGAACTGGGACTTAGAGGGATTAGACATGTTAAAAGTCCAGACAAAGAAGGGAAAAGAAATGGAAATAATTTTGTTAAATAACCATGGAGAGATTACTGCTGCCTAGGGAGCAAAAGCATGAAAACTGAGTCAAATGCCATGTCATATTTCAGAGACTTTAAGTCACAAGCCCAAATGCTACGCAAAAGGGGAATAAGAAAAAAGGAACCATTACATATATTTTAAATTGTATTATTTTTAAAGCTATATCTATGAAACCTAGCACAATTACACATGTCTTTTATCCTGGCATTCAGGAGGCCGAATCAAGTAGATCTCCATGAGTTCAAGACTGGTCTATATAGTGACATTCAGACCATCCAGAGCTACACTGTGAGACACTATCTCAAAAAATAGACAAGAAACAAAAGTTATATCTATATGTGTGTCTATGTGTATAAGGGTGCCAGTAAAGTCAAGAAAGGGTATCAGTTCTCCTGGAGTTCCAAGGGGTTCTAAGCTACCTGATGTGAGTGCCAAGAACTCAACTTGGGTTCTCTGGAAGAACACTACCAGCTCTTAACCTCTAAGCCATCTCCCCAGTTCTCCGCATTATATATTTTAAGCTTTTACTATAGCAATTTTTAAAAAATGTTATACTTAATTTGTATACTTTTTAAATTATAATTGTGTCATACACAATTACTGAGATTAAAAGGTAATCACTAATGTTCACCATTTCACGGGGAAGGAAGTAAAGTGTTCGCTCGATGTTTTTCACCATAACACAACAGCTCACGTGGGTTTGGGCTGATTCAATCCATACTTTGCCAAACAGAAAAACCACACCTGAAAAAAGAAAACAAGCTTTTCAAGTATATCAAATCAAAGAGACAAGTTCAAAATTCACATATTTACACCTAGTTCATATTTGTATTCTCTTCTATTCTTCTAAGATCACCTGGGTAATAAATACTGTAGCATTAATTGTGGCTTTGCAGACATGAAGTCACTATTCATGAAAACTGGCTGGCCATCAAGTAAAAACTCAAAAGATTTGATAGCCAACTCAAGAGATGGTTAACTTTGCAAAATCCTGGACTCCATAAATTATGAGTAATCAACAAAGCCACTCAAAACAGCTGCTGATCTTAGATACTTAAAAAAATCTGACACATGCAAAGGTTACTGTTCACAAGCCCAATTACCCTAGTTTCTCAAGACAGCTTATCAATGTTTTCTTTTGTCACTCATCCTGACAGAAAGAAATAAGACCGTCTAAGGATTTTCATTTCTGCAGATGATTAAAACTTTTACAAAGTTGTGTAATTTTCAACAAGGAGGTGGGGGTATATGTGGGAATATAAGGAGAGGGAAAATTAGAAGTCATTCTCACAACAGTTAAAAATGAAAAAACAAAATTCCATGCAAGGAAAAAATAAAGACCCTAATATTGGATTCAAAGATTCAAATAGCTCATTTTACAGTCAAACTAATATCACACTTCATGCAACACATTTGACACTGTTTATGCCTCATTTGCCACAAAAAGATCATGGTAAACAAAGATTACATTCCCCCCAAAGTTACTAGCTGAAACCAGGTGCAGTCAGGATTATTCAACCTTGAAAAAGTCATAATGAAGACAGGATATGTTCCGATATGCAAAGAGTAAGATTCTTTTCATAATTATGGTTCATTCAGCAATAACTGACTGACTTAGAATCTTGAAGAAAGTGAGCAACAATAACAGGGTCTTTAAGCACACTCCGTTCTTATTAGCAGCATTGACTTCACCAAAGCTTAGTGATCATTAGCAACTATCACGATGAAACTGTTCAACCCCCTAAGATTAAAGCTTTTTAAAGCTATTTTATGTAACCCATTGGCATCATAAACATGAAAAATATGTCACTGCAAAGGACACAACTTGAGAAGTGCCACAGAAGAGGAAAGTGGACAAAGAGAGAAGCCAAGACTTATGGCAGGAAAGGGACAAGGGTACTTTTTCTTTTAGAATCTAAGTTTTCAAAGTGAATAGTCTAGATAATTCCTGAGGCCATCTTCTGAATCAGAAATTTCCTTTTGCCTCAGCATTTGTATTGTGAAGCAGTGTCATACTCTTCCCATTGTTTAAAATAATGGTTAATTAAAGTAGGTAAGGTGACACAGGTCTATAGTTTTAGCTACTTGGGAAGCTGAGGTGGGAGTGTCTCTTGAGCTCAGAAGTCTGAGATCAACCTGAGGAACACTGATTTCAAAAAAGTTTTAACTACAAAATACATCCCATGCAATGTAGCTCAGTGGTAGAGCATATGTAAGGTCCTGAGTTCCAACTCCAGCATACTGGAAAAGGATTGCCAGTACGGGACAAAAAAGTCTGTGGATAACAAGAATCTATATATCCCCCCCCCCAATCGATGCCTGAGGCAGGTGGGAGAACTGGCCTTGCACCTCATCTGGGTAACACAAAAGCGCCAACCCTGTTGGCAGAGGTATAGTTGACCCAGCCCTGAAATTGTAAGTGTGGAAGAGCTGTCCCCAGCTTGTCCATCATACAGGGGGGTGGGTGGGGGAGAGATATCCCTCTTACCCCCCACTGCCTGCAACAGATTAATGAGATGACACTTCCCTTGCCAGCTCCAGCACTCAGGAAAACAGACCCTGCTCCTTGCCTAGGCAGCATCACAGAGCTGGCCCTGATGTTTCAAGCAAGGGAAAGCTGTCCCCATTAATCATCTGACATATGGCAGCATGGGTAGAGGAGAGATGACCTCCCCTCTACCCCACCTCTCCACCCATCAATGCCTGAGACAGGTGGAGGAGCTGGCCCTGGAGTCATAAGAGCACAAGAGCTGTCCCCGTACCTGCCTGGGCAACACAATAGAGCTGGCCCTGAAGGTGTAGGAGATCAGACCCTGAGGTCATGAAAGCCTTACTGTTCCCACCCCTCAGTCATTGCTTCAAAGATGAATTAGCAGAGGCAGTGCTGGAGAGTTCATCCTGATGGTAAGGACAAGGAAAAACGGGCAACTATCCATGCAACTATCCATGCCCAGAACCAGGGCTTTGAATTGCCCCACTGCAACATCCACCCCATTTACGATCTGCTGGATCCAAAGCTGCAGGATCTTTATGACTCAGGGCAACAACAAGATATCCAAGAGGAGTCTAAGTAAGGACCCAACATCAATATTGTAGCAGAAACCAGAGGCCTCAAACAGACCAATGACACTTTGCAATGAACATGTGCAAGTAGAGATACATGGGCAAAGGGGTGTACTGTTTGACTCACTGTGTCACACTACAGCTTCCATAACGGAGATTTTTAATTTTTTCAATTTTTTCTTTTTTTCTCTTAAATTTTGTTTTATTTTGAGAGGGTCACAGGAACAGAGGGTGAATGCAAAGGGACAGGAGAATGAATGGGATCAAGATACATAATGTAAATAAGATATACTGAATAAATAAAAATATAAAAACAAAACAAAAACAAGAATCTATAACCAAATCATCATGCCCTAGCTAAACTGGGTTGGTTAATATACCATTTCTGAGCCTGACTGTAACTAAGATAGAGCCACATTGTGAGAGAGCATGTAAATATTTGCTAAAAGAAAGTATATTAATGATCTGACAATTCCCCCAGGAACCATTAAGATTTTTCTACGTAATATCCAGTTAGCGTAAATCAGATCTCCAAGTTAAAGTTTAGTTATCCTTCTTATATACTTGCTTTACTAATATAGTTATTGCCTCTAGTTTTATTGGATGCAGTTTCCAGGAAATCACATTTAAAAAATACCACTTATATCACCAAAGATCCCAAAAGATCTAAATGCAGACAAATCCATTTCAGGTGGATATGGCAATTTATGCTAATTGGACAGATCATGGTAACTCTGACCATATTGACTCTGATCCTTTAACAAAGATTCCAAGATTATACTGAACCCACAGGAAATTCTTATCTCTTAATCAAATCTATAAAGTCTGTTTTACCCATTGTAACCATATATAAGAAAGTAGATGGCAGTATAAAAATAACTGTTTTTTTTTTAACATTTATATATTTGGAGGGTGATTATGGAAGTCAGGACAACCCGAGAGAGTCAATTCTCTCCTTTCACAATATAGGTTCTGAGGATAGAACTCAGATCACCAAGCTTAGCAGCCTTTACCTGCTAAGAAACTTCACCTGCTCCTTTACATAGACAATCTTGAGGAGAGGGTCCTTATGCTACCTATAACACCAGTTCTACAAAACTAAATTTTCTCGTGGATCTTAAGGGGAAACAATACAGAGGACACAAACCCCAAGGCTAACAAAGGCAGCTAGTTATACAAATGCAGTACTTATACCCACAGTTAAGTCATTTGGGACCATATTCATTTAATGAATTGTGGAAAGTGAAGTTATTTTCCCTCCTATGTATGATCAGAAAGGCTAAAGATTTTCCACTACTTTATTTGGGGGGTACATTTTAATTTCTTAAAACATTAACCTGAAAAACTAGAATAAGACAGGTTCAATCTGGTAACAGAGACACAGACCAAGAAACAGCCACAGAAAAGACATCAGTTCAAGGAGAACTTTCTCAGTTATTTGTGTTCAAAATGGAATAATATACCTTTGACATCACAGTGGTGTTCTGAGCCCTTCAGGTGATATTTCCCTTTGAGGAGGGAATAACAACACCCCTCACTGGATGCTCAACCCAACAAATTCTTAAAGAATATTCTCTTTGTTCTGTTATTGGGCAGCCATTTTAAACAACTTAGCATTTTGTGAGTCAAGAATTCACAGAATTAGCTCATTAGAAGAAGCCCAGTGGTGATGTTCACCTTTAATCCCAGCACTTGAGGGGCAGATCTCTGTGAGTTCCAGGTCAGCCTGGTCTACAATGCTAGTTCCAGGACAGCGAAGGCTACACAAAGAAACCCTATCACAGCAATCCAGAAAAAAAATCAGGGAGTCAGTCTTAACTCAACAACCTATAATATGTTTATGTCAAAATATACTTAAAATCTCTCTACTTTTCTATTTATACCCAGTAATCAGGTTCCAAGTACCTAACACCTCTACCCTGGACAGACTGGTCTGCAGGGTTTCCACATTTCTGTGCTACTCCACTCCAGCCTTCATGAATGTGTATTGTTTTGCGCGCGCGCACACACACACACACACACACACACACACACACACACACACACAGAGGGGGTAGAGGAATTTATATATATAAATTATATATATATGGGGGGAGGGGGAGGGAGAGAGAGAGAGACACATACTTCTCCACATATGCCAGGGCATATGTTAAAGTGTAAAGTCAATTATAAGACCAATCTTCTTACATTTCTCCAGTATTCTTTGAGTATGATTGAAATTCTTTGAGAAGGCTTTTAAGGCCTTTGGTATCTAGCTGTCTAGCTATGTGAGCTAGTTTGTTTTTTTGTTTGTTTGTTCTTGTTTTTTTGTTTTTTTTTGTTTTGTTTTTTTGTCAACTTGACACAAGCTAGAGTCATTTGGGAAATGGGAACCTCAATTGAGAAAATGCCCCCACCAGACTGGCCTGTGGGCAAGCCTGTGCTTAGTTGATTGATAACTGATTTGTAGGGCTTCAGCTCACTGTGGATGGTGGCACCCCTGAGCTGGTATTCCTGGGTCCTATAAGAAAGCAGACTGAACAAGCCACAAGAAGCAGAAAAGCCAGTAAGCAGCACTCCTTCATGGCCTCTGTATCAGTTTCCATGTCCTTCCTTGAATTCTCATTCTGTCTTCCCTAGAAGATGGACTACAAACTGTAAGAGAAAATAAATCCTTCCCTATCCAACTTCCTTTTGGTCATGGTGCTTCATCACAGCAATAGAAACTGTAACTAAAATACTAGCCTTTGTTCTTTATCATCAACTTTATTATTCATTATGCATCAATTTTGTCATTTCCAATGGTATTACAATCACAAAAGCCTCCTTATCCTCCTCCTTCTTTTAGGTCTTTGCATTTACTGGCTCCTTAAACTAAAGTGCCTTTACTTTAGCTTTATGTGTGCTTCATCTCTCAATCCAAGTTTCAATTCCTTTTTTTAAATATTTTTTATTCTTTTCTTGCACATACATTCTTATAGTAGCTTCCCCTTCCTCCACTTCTCCCAGTCCTTCCCCCACTTCCCCTCTTCCCAGATCTAGCTCCCCCAGAAAAGAGAATACCTCGAAGGGACATCAACTGAACATATCACAACATACAATAAAACCAGGCACAAACCCTCACATCAAGGCTGGACAAGACAACAAAGTCAGTGCTGTGAAATAACCCTTCTGTACACTGTGAAGATGGGTTGCTCTCGTTAATAAAAAGCTGATTGGCTGATAACTAGGAATGATTTTTGAGGCAGAGAGAACAGTGGAAGAAAGCACAGAGTCAAGGAGTCACGAGTCGAGAGCCAGACTTGGAAGAGGCAACATGAGAAGTTCATAGGTGAAGTAAACCAGTCTTGGAGCAGCACATAGATTAATAGAAATGGGTTAATTTAAGTTATGAGCTAATTAAAAATAAGCCTAAGCTATCAGCCAAGCATTTATAATTAATGGTAAGTTTCTAAGTAGTTATTTGGGAACCAATGCCAGAACACAAAGAAACTCCACATACAAGTCAGAGATACTACCACTCCCAATTAGGAGTCCCCCTAAAACAACAAGCCAACAACCACAATACATATGTAGACAACCTAGCGCAGACCCATGCAGGCTCCATGATACCACTTCAGTTTCTGTAAACACCCATGCGCCCTGCTTAGTTGATTCCACAGGCCATGCTGTCCTGCGGGATCCAATTCTTAAGACAAGTTCAGTTGGTCAACCTCCAACTCCCACCCACTCTCACCCACTTAGAATGTAAGCTTCTATATAAGGAATTTTTCCAGCTTGTTCACTCCACCTCAGTATCTAGCACACAATGAATATTCTGTTGAATAAAAAGACAAATTAGGCCAGGCATGGTGGTGCATGCCTTTAATCCCAGCACTGGGGAGGCAGAGGCAGGCAGATCTTGTGAGTTCAAGACCAGCCTGGTCTACATATCAAGTTCCAGGACAGGCTCCAAAGCTACATAATAGGGAGACCCTGACACAAAAAAGAAAAATAAAATAATAACAATCAATTGATTTTAAAAGAGACAAATTACTATCTGACCCTATTAGAAAAATAAAGTCAGAGTCACAAAAATATTTAAAGAAAAAGGCACGACACTTTTTTGTTTGTTTGGTTGGTTGTTTTTTTTTTTTTTGTTTGTTTGTTTGTTTGTTTTTCAAGACAGGGTTTCTCTGTATTGCTTTGGAGGCTGTCCTGGAACTAGCTCTGTAGACCAGACTGGCCTCAAACTCAGAGAGATCCACCTGGCTCTGCCTCCCAAATGCTGGGATTAAAAGCAGGCATCACCAACACTTTGTAATAAAAGTCTAATATTTCCCTTATGTATGATTACCTGGTTGACTGTATGGATCTTCATAAGCATCCAGCCAATAAAACTGAAACACTTGTTCATCATCTGCTCCTTTTACCAACGGTAGGTGACTGGAATCCACTTGAACTTCCTGAGCTAAGAAACTGCTTTCATCCTCCTGATCCATGTCCCAACAAGAGACATCTGGGAGAAAACTTTCTCTGTAGAAATCACATTTTCAAAAACTATAAAATCCAACAGAATAACTAGAGTACTATTTTTCTGAAAAAAAAAAAACATAAAATGCACTTACAAGAAAGACGTGGTCCCTTTCTCAGGATCTGCCTCATGTTTCACCCTCTCTACTGGCTCACTCTCTTGGTCCCATGTTTTGGAAGTCACAGGCTCTCCATCTATCTCCTCAGATTCCATGGGCTCATCAAAGTCACCATCTTCAAACTCCATTATCCCCGACTCCTGCTCATCATCTGGACACTCTGGCTGGGCCAGCTCTCCTGTAAACATCACCATATATTCCCATCACATGCTAGGGCCATGGGGCACAAAGCTTGCTCAACATTGAAGTAACAGTCTTTTCCTACATTATAATTATATTTTTTCCTAATATTCATGTTGGATGCTTTTAATTTTTACTACTATTAGATGTAGCTACCTTCAAAATTACCTCTACCCCTTTATCACCAACTCTCTACATGTGGCTGTTATTGCTCAACAACTTGCACTTTTGCCTGACATGAGACTTACCAGCAAATTCAGCACGTTTAAGGGGAATGGGAGTTAACAGAGGCTCCTTCCTGAGGACAGGGGAAGCAGGTTCTCCTGAAGGCATTGCCTGAAAATGTTCATAAGTGTTTAGTCAGTTAGAACTGCGTACTAAAAATATGCAACTGTCCTACCCTGACCAAAGATAATGACAGTTCCCACTTATAAAAAGATTTTGTGTATTATTAATGAAATGGCTTCAATTATTTTACTGTTACCTAGATTTACGCAAAAAATACTTGTTTCTGGGAAGAAAATTATTGCATTTAACACAGTTGTAATACCTGTAATAAACATGTACTAGTTACTACAAAATTTACTATAAAAAAGCAGGCACATGCTATTTCTGAAACATATAAAACTATGTATTGAATGGCAGTTCTAATTTAAAAGAAACAAAACAAATTCAAAATCATCATCTCCTTCTTACAGCAAATAAAACAAATTTAAAGCAGAACAATACATCAAGAAGGAGGATGTTTCTACTGACTTTACCTTAGGGGAATGCACTGAAAAAGGATTGAGCAAAGCACCAGTTGATCTTTTTTTCTTTGGTATCAATACAGGTGGTGGAGCTACTTGAGGTATCTAAAAGGGGAAGACATTTCACTGTTGTGTCTGGTTTACACATAATAGACAAAATACATTTTTTTGCTTATGCATTGTAAGTAAAGCATTTTTCCTTTCCTGCCCCCCCAACAAGATCCATGCTCTTGTACTGCAGTTACTATAGCAACAATACTACAGAAATCACTAGAAAACCAGAATATATATTTAATCCATCCCTAATTATTTTTCTTTCAAAAATTTAACATACTTTCTTCACTTGCTCTTTCAGGTATTACATTTATCATCCAACAAAATAGAACTACATAATCTTGGTATTAGTAAATTAATTAATCAGTAGTCACTTAGAAAAAAAAATATGGCCAAACTGCAAAATTCACAGTGTAACAGAGCCTGTTTGAGTTCTATCAAAGGCAGCTCACTTACTCTTCCTTCACTCCCACTCAGAATTCAGAAAGGGGCTCTCATACCCAAGTGTGCAGATTGACAGGCTTCAATCTATTTACAGAACATACACTATAGCAACTGAATACAATCAATGAACATTCACAAAACCAACTCCTGGATGTATTCTTACTACTTCCAACACACACCCACACAACCCATCTACATAATCTTAGAGCAGTAACAGTTGGAAATTCCTCACCTAAAATGGTGAGAAGAAACCTGTAACAGCAAGAAGAAACTAATTTGAGGGCTTTTGTATGTGTGTTGGGGGAAGGTTTTGTGTGTGCATGCATGATGGTATCCTGCCACTTTTCTTCCTAGTGATAGACTGCTTTGAATAATTACTGAACTATTTCTTCAACCTACGCCCCTGCAAATCTTACAAGTCCAAGAATTCACTTACCTCGGTGTTCAGATCCTGTAGAATGTCACCTAGCAGATCATCCTTGGATAAGTCTACTGCTTTCTATATAATATATAAAAATTGTTTTTGAAAAAGTTCAAATGAGAACATTCTGGAATAAACTTTTTCAGGCAGACCACACACACTTCTGAAAGGAAAAACCTAATCCCACCAGTCCTTCACTGCTCACTCCCATCTATTTCAACAATCACCTGTGCATAATTAATTTTTAAATTTATATGCCTAGCCTCTTCTTTCATCTAAGTTTCTTGCTTGCCACTAAAATTAAGCTTACTGTCATTTCAGCAATTCTATTCAATTTTCTTTTGTCTTCTAAGTTCAAACCACTGAGGTACCTAAATTCACATAAAACCCAAATTCACAGACTGTTACTCAAATATGTATTGAGCACATACCATTTAGGCAATGAAAATTTAAATTCATTTCATAGAGGGTAAAGACATAATATAAGGAAACATGAAACTCACATCTGCAGTTTTCTTCCCAGCACTAGCAATGAACATTGCCTTGATATTGTTTGGTTTTGTCACTGAAGGTTTCTTTACATCCTTCCTGTCCTTTCTGTGTGCTTTGCCATCACTTCCTATTGAAATACAAAGTATTCAGAACATGACCTATATGGAAAACTAAATCCTAGGTTGTGATCACTTATTGTCTGAATATGAGAACGTAAGAAGAAAATAAATTAAGAATTCAAAATACAAACCTGGGAAATTCTGCACAAGGTACACAGGGGAAAAAAATCCTTTAAATGAAATAAGCTGAAGAAAACTCAAGACTGAATCATGAAAAGCAATGAAATGCAATAAATTATTAGGGGGAAGTTAGGTGACTAGTTGTTAGTAGGGAAGCAAAGCTTTTGAAAAGGGGTAGCTTGCTGCCTTGCTTCCCACAAAAATAAAATAAAGCTAATCTGGAAACAATAGCAACTGGACACATGCTCTATGCTGTATCAAAACTGAGTGGCACAAGCATACTTGCTCATTCCAAAAGAACTTCTGTCTTCTGATTTTCCTTTTGGGCATGACTAAATCACCTATGAGCTTTTCTAATACTATCCATTTTAATATCACTGATTCATTCCAAAAAATATAAATCTAAAAAGAAACTAGAATGACTAATTAAAACAGTGCAGTAACAGTATACACAGACTAGATGATGTGAAAACTGACTAAAGAAGGGTGTGACACTCCTATAAGAAGCCCATAAACACAAGCCCATATACACACTCGTCTCACTCTTTCCAAGTACCTCACTTTATATTACCCCATTCTTAATTATATTAAAAATCTGTTAATAAACTTCAACTCTTCTTCATAAAAATAAAAGTCTAGAGAACAACCCAATTTCTTATGAAAATTTACTGCATAATGAAGTTAGCAACTCTCATTACTTCAGTTTTCCATAAGCCATGCTGACTAAACATTTGTAAAGCAGTAAACCAGTATTAACACTAAAATGACAAATTTAAAAATAAATCAACACAAGTAATTGTGGGTTTGCTCAAAATTTTTAATAATCATTTTTTGAAATTTTCTTTTTTGTTGTTGCTGTTTTGTTTTGTTTGGTTTGGTTTTTTTTTTTTTTTTTTTTTTTTTTGAGACAAGGTTTCTCTGTGTAACCCTGGCTGTCCTAGAACTCACTCAGGCCTAGAACTCGGAAACTCAGAAAGCTGCATGCTTCAGCCTCCCCAGTGATGGATTAAAGGCATGTACTACCAAACCTGGCTGAAATATTACTTAATGATATCTAACCTCCAACTCTCTTGCTCCAACTTGCCCCAAGACCCTCCAACATATCTCTCTCCTACTTAAGTGTCCTTTTCTACTATAACCCACTGAGTCCAATTAATGCTGCCCATATATATGTTCATCAGTGGGATACCAAAATTTAAGCTTTATTCTCCTCCACAAAATTTTTAGTCTCCTCCTAGCCATCAACTGCCAAATGCCTCAATTAGGGGTAAGGTACTTTTTTTGAAACAAACAAGAAAAGATTCATGAGAAGGTTTTAATCTCACTACTATAGGTTAGTAGGATTTATACAGAAATACAAGAAGAAAAGAGTATAAGCAGCTGGGCGGTGGTGGCACTCACTTTTAATGCCAGCACTCAGGAGGCAGAGGGAGGTGGATCTCTGTGAGTTCAAGGCCAGCCTGGTCTACAGAGCTACTTCCAGGACAGCTAGGGCTATTACACAAAGAACTCCTGTCTGGAAAAAAAAGGAGGGAGGGAGGGAAGGGAGAGGGTGAGAAAAGAGGAAGGGAGGAGAGGGAGGGAGGGGAGACAGAGGGAGGGAAGAGAGGGAGGGAGGAGAGGAAAGAGAGGGAGGGAGGGGAGGGATGAGAGGGAGGAAGGAAGGAGGGGAAGGAAGAAGGGAAGGAGGGAGGGAGGGAGGGAGTGAGGAAGCAAGGAAGGAAGGAAGCAAGGAAGGAAGGATTAGTAAATATTGAGGTGGACATCTTTAGTTCTAGCTTTTTTTTTTTTTTAACTGTGATTTCTCACTGATTCCTTTCCACTGGGACACAGTTGATAAATTTTTCTACCTCTATGGTATGAAGCCAATCTATGATGAGTTATGAAGCCAAATTCTGTAACGTTCCTTTAAATTTTAAAGTAAACTGTTAGATTCTATTTCTCTAAGCTCTTGTGATTTTACCAGGATACTACAACAGCAAAGAACTGTGGGCATGTGATGGTACAAAACGAGAAGTGTAAGTTTCTAAGACTGTTTTCTAGAATGTCAAAACTTCTCTTCACTAGTATCTAATCAAGAAGAAAGAATACTGTAATCATGGAAACAAAAGATGACTCCTTCACTCAAGAAATACTGCACACCTTCTTTATACTGGCTACTATATAGGTCCTTTCTCTGAGATGCCTCCTGTCCATTCCAACTTCCTACTACAAAGCTGGCAAAATTAAAATATAGACAGGTGATAGGATCAGGTAAAAATTATACAATTAACAACACTGTCATAACTCAAGCATAGCCTCTACACCTCAGTGGCAATGAGTACATCCACCCATTCCCCAGATCTGAATACAAATCCCCACTTTAAAAGTAATCAAGATTCTAGGGAGAAACAGCTAATTCCAGGTTTATGACAGAAATGTACAAGATAAGTACTGAAACATCATCTTTGCCCTAAACTGGGGATTGTTCAAAGACTGGTAGGAACCTGTCAAATGGATGATTAAAAGTACTCCACCAAACAAATATGAACCTCAAAAGGAAAAATAAGAGGATGGGGAAATGGCTCTCTATAAGACCACTTGCTTCAAAAGCAAGATGACTTGAGTTCAAATCTCCAGCACCCTAATAATAACCAGGTGTGGCCTTGCATGTCTGTAATCCCAGTGCTGATGGACAAATGAGTAGATTAACGGAGTTCCCTGAAAAGCTAGCACAGCCAAAAACAGCAGCTTTCAGACCCTGTCTTAAAAAAAAAAAATAGGTGAAGAGTAAAAAGGGAAGAATCCCCAGTGTCTTTCTCTGGCCACAGCAAACTCACCCACATCTGTGTTCAGCAGCCAACAAACACAAAAAGAAACTTGCTAATGGATACTGAACTTTAACAGTGTATTTCTTAGAAATGGCCAATTTCAAACTTGTAATATAAAAGAATATAGAGGCTAGGTGTGGTAATACTCGCAATGTTTAATGAGCACATGGTTTAAGCAAAAAAGATCGCTTGAGTTCAAGAGTTTGATAACAGCCTAAGTAACATGGTAAGAACTTATCTCTAAAAGCAATTAAATAAATAATTGAAAAATAATATAGGAAAGCAAATCACCAATAGCTAATCAAAGCATTTGGTAAAGTTTTCAGAGGAAACAGGTTATATACAATATACATGGCTTAAAATCACCCTATATCTGCATAATTACAAAGGGAGAAAGGAAGTTTTACAAGTAATCTGACTTTATCATCCTAACCAAGAAGTCAAATTTATTGTCAATAATGGAATGAATGACATTTGATCAATGGGAAGGTCTCCATTCCATCTATGTTGTAGATGTTGCCGAATTTGTTCTGAAACACTTCTTTATTATTGCCAAAATAGCTAATCTGAACCTAAGCACAAAGAAGCAATCAGGAAAATCCCAGACTTTGAAACATTCAACTAAACAACCAGCCCTTTAAAAGTTTTGATGTAACAGAAGACAAAAAGAATGGGAAGAAAGAAGGGAGGTATAGCTAGCTGTTCAACACACAATAAGACCAAAGAATAAAAAGACATTAAGAAAGTAAAGTAGATTGTATCTTAAAAAAAATATGGGAGCCAAGGAGATGGCTCATCAGGTGTCAGCACTTGCTGAGCAAGTCCAACACCCTGAGTTCAGTCCCTAGTACCCAGGTTTTAAAAACTCTGGGAAAGGGTAGCATGCATCTATAATGCCAGCACTCCTACAGCCAAATGGGAGGCTAAGAGACTCAGCTAAACTGGGGTTCAGCTAGTCTGGGGTTCACAGCAGGGAATCAACAGAGTAAAAGAGACCCTGACTCAAAGCAAGGTAAAAGGAGAGAACCAACTCCCAAAATGTCCCTCTGACCTCCACCACAAGCACATTGTGACACAGACATGCTAATGCCAGTGTATGCATCTGTTCCTCTTCCTCCATCCCTTCTCTCTCTCACACACAATAAATATGCCAACAAATAGTTTCTGAGCTAATTAAAATTTCTTCCTATAGACAAAATATTAGATAATACCAAGAAAATGGTGCTATGGTTAAACAGACAAGCATCCTTACTCTGAGGAAGACACTGCTGAAGTTCAAAAATCTCACCACAATAGTCTCTGTATGTGTGGTTAGGAAAAGGGAAAAGAAGCAAATATATAATATGTTAATCCAAAATGAAGATTGCATCATTTAAAATTTCAATCAAAGTAAACTGAATCCCCAGCAGGCTCACCCAGTCTTTTGACACAGCAAAGTATTATCATTTGCATGATGTTATCATCTACTAAATTTAGTACTGATTTCCACACTCACAAGTTAACAACTACAACAAATGCATCATGTTCTAAGGACGTTTACAGTTTTGTGTTGGGCTGCCTTCATGACTATATTGGGTTATAAACCTTTTTTCCCACAATACAATTATTAAAGGGCAATAGTCTAAGTATATCACTTCAGTAGGAAATAAAAGGCATTGCTTATTGTTGTACCCATCATAATCTGCAATTCTAAAATTACTAAAGAACTAAAAATTTTTAAATTACTACAAGATGAAAGTCTTTGGACAATGAGGACATATTTTTTATTTCCTGCTATATTTTTTGCTTCTTACATATAATTTTTCTATCCAACTGTTTCTCTACTAGGACATATTCTCAAAGGCAATTTTTCAAAACAAAATGTAGGTACCTTTGCCAGAGGTGTCAAGTGCATCATCTTCAAGGTCATCATCAAAAATCTCTCGACCATCTTCCACATAGCCTGTACCATCTGAAAGAATAAAATTTAATACTGGAATCAAGTTTCTAAAAGTGCCTGAAAGCTGGGCATGGTGGTGCATCTCTGCAATCTCAGCACTCAGGAAGCAGAGGCAAGTGGATCTCTGTGAGTTGGAGGCCAGCTCAGTCTACAGAGCAAGTTCCAGAACAGCCAGAGACACATAGAGAAATCCTGCCTCTAAAATAGAAAAAGAAAGGGGAGAGAGGAAAAGACAGACAGAGAGAGTGAGAGTGAGAGAGACACACAGAGAGAGAGAGAGAGAGAGGGAAAGAGAGAGAGAGAGAGAAATCACAACCTAGAACCTATAAGCAGGAATCAGTGAGCTTTATACAAGAGAAAGACTACCCTTCAAAATGCTTTCTGTGGTTCAAATTACATCTCATACCTACAACCTGCTGTATTCTTCACAGCAACTCTGGAAAATAGTCTCATATCTCTATACCATAGACAGAAAACTTGTGGCTTAAGTGATATTAACTTATTTACCTAAGGCTAGATGGAAAGTGTAAAGTGTAGAACCTGAAGTGTCTCTCTTAATTCCACAAGCTATGTATGGGACTGTGTGTTGGATCCACCAATTGGTAGTTCCTCACTATTCCTTTTTTTCAGAGGACACTGATGATTGAACCCAGTGACCCAAGTAGTCCCACTCAATTTCTACATGCTCATGTCCTAGGGGATTTATTTTTAGGTATGTGCCTATTATTTTCTAAAGAGTTCTTAAGTCAGCTTCCTATTTTTATGTTTCCTTGTCTTCAAAAAACTAAGGAAAATCTAAACAAAAAAATTTAACAATGCTGTGACACCATACATTGACTGCCAACCAAACTGACAGGATCCAGAAGCACCTAGTAGATAGCCTCTGGGCATGCCTATGGGAGGTTATATTAAGGTTAATGAAGGTGGGCACACCAATCTTAAGTGTAAGCTGGACCATTCCATAGAGGTCCTGGACTTAAACAGAAGAAAGCAAACAGAGCACAAAACATTCCTCTTTCTCTACTTCCTGACTGCAGATACAATGTCACTTCTGCCACCATGCCTTCCCAAGGAGATGAACTATAGCCTCAAATTGTGACCTAAATAAACCTTACCCTCCTTAAGTTGCCTTCATCAAGTATTTTATCACAGCAAAGAGAAAGATAACTAATGAAAACGTCTCACATCTCCTCAGGCATAGCAAGTGCCCCACATGACAATCAAGAAGTAACTAACACAGTGCCTAGCAGGCAATTTCCTCCCACATACCATCATCCACGATCCAGTCATCATCCTGACGTGCCTGAACCAGTTTAGAATATTGCTCTTCATCAACTTCTTCATAAACACTTGTGAGGTCCTCAACCTGCCATTACAAAGTTTATGGAAAAGCTTCAAATGGAGTGAAAGTGTTAAACAATTTTGATTTAAAAAAAAAAAAAAAAAAACTGTCAAACTAAAGCTGGAATGGCAGCCTGATGGAGTAGCTGCAACCAAATCATGAGTTCCAACATTCAACACCACTGCAGGGTTTTCCTTAAATAGACACCAATTAACTTAGTATTCCTTTTAGGTGGGTGTTAACATAAGATATTAAATGATTCCATTAGCATAATACACTTGTCACACCATCAATTACTCATCTACTCCATAAAAAACAAACTGAATTATAGCCAATTCTTCATTAGCTGCTTTGGGGATTGTTCACATAATTTCTAGACTAGTTTTTTCCTATATTTAACAAATGCCTAAGGCATAGTGTGCCCATTCACCACTAATTGATAAATGCCCTGCAAAGATACTAATTTTAGCTAACAGTTTAATTAACTAAATAAAATTCAAAAGAAATACCTTACTCATGCTCTACAAAAATGAGCAAAACTAATTCAGTCCACAGTCTTTAGGCAAAGAAATGGTTTTTGAATGGTCTGTCTTACCACTAATCCTCCCTAAATTTCAGGACTTGAAATAGGGACCTAAGTAGAAAGTTCAGTGAAAGCAGTGAATTCCCAAATCATACTGGCCCATGAATATGAAAGTATCAGACCACCTCTGCACAGCAATAAATGCACACCACTGCTGCAGCTACCCACCACGACAAGCAACTAACCTGCCAGATTGAGAATATGGCAGACCTCATTTAAAATTGCCCCCTCCTGGTTGATTCTTGGTGGGGCTCGCCTTTAATCCCAGCACTCAAAAGGCAGAGATGAGGCCAGCCTGATCTACAAAGCAATTTCCAGGACAGCCAGAGCTGCTACACAGAGAAACACTGTCTTGGGGGGGGGGTGCCCTCTTCTTAGGAGTCTGCCTTTTTAAAAAGGGAAACATATCAAATATACCAGAAAAGCTAAGATCTTAGGAAGAAACTTGAACACGGAGTCTTGAGAACCTTGCAGTTCACAGCTAACTAGATCTCCACTATTCAGAATAACTGCAAGGCAGGGCTAGAGAGAGATGGATCAGTGAATAACAGGATCTGAGTTCAGTTCCCAGCACCCACATGAGATGGTTTAGAACCACCTATAACTACAGCTCCAAGAGATCCAAGACCTTCTTCTGGCCTCCAGGGTACCTGCACGTACATGTGTAAGCACATAAGTAGACATGAACATACACATAAATAAAAAATGTATTTTTTAAAAGACACAAGGAAACTTTCTTATTCTATCTTCTGTATGTGTGTTACTGAGGATAAAACCCAGGGCTTTCCTCCTATTAGGTGAGTACTCCACCACTAAATCATACCCTGAGACCAGCAGACTATCTTTAAAAACCACACTGCTACTGCCCAGCATGAACTCTTTTTAGAACTATACAATTAATAATATCATGTATACAAGGGACTCAGCCACATAATTCCAACATCTGAAATGCCCCAGAAGAACTCCTTTACAGAAATTCCTACATTAAAAAAATGCTTTACTCACAGGATGGTAGTGGCACCCACCTTAAATCCCAGCACTTAGGAGGCAGAGGCAGGTGGATTTCTGTAAGTTCGAGGCCAGCCTGGTCTACAGAGTGAGTTCCAGAACAGCCAAAGCTACACAGAGAAACCCTATGTAAAAAAGAAAAAAAAAAAACAAAAAGAAAAATGCTCTACTCCTGCCTCACAGTACTCCTTTTATAAAGCAACTCTTTAACTTCAATGGTGTCAAATGGCAAAATTTGTTATATTTGCCTAATCCCCCAATATGAAATAGGCCAGAGTTAAATGTGGATATTCCCAAGCCAAATCACCTAGACTTCCACTAGGATCTCACTAACCTTCCTGTGCCAAGCAAGTTACCTCACCTGAAAAGTGTTGTTAATCATACTATTTGTACGATCGCTGAGATTTAATGAAGAACATATTGGTAAAAGCACTCAGAAAGTATATTAGTTGCTATTATATTCCAGTATTTATCTCTTCCTACCCTTGGCAGTTAAGATGTGGAAGGTGAGGCTACACAATGTGTATTCTGATTTTGACCTACAGGCCATAATCAATGGTTTAAAACAACAAAGAGTATCCCAAGAAGAAATAAGGCCCAAATCTCCAATGCCAATCCCCTAGCAAATGAGCTTAAGAACAATTCTGAGAAATTGTTCTTAGCTAGACTATTTAATATCATAAAAGTAAAAACACTCCTCATGACCCATTTAGTGAGCTCCAATCTCAAAACACAAAATGAAAAAAAGCTTGCTCAGCATGTAAGTGGTCCTATATTCCATCTCTGTCCTCCCAAATCTGAAAAAAAAAATTTTAAATATATTAATATTTCTAACAAGGTGAAGGTAACAAAGAACTGCCTGCAGGCTGTGAATTAAATAAAAGGCAGGATTAAAACATTACTTACTTCATATTTATACTTCTCACCAGCTTTAGTCTTTTTCAGTCTCTCTAAAGCTTCTTGGCGTCCTTTCTTTGATTTTTTTTCTCGACGAGCTCGAGAAGCTACAAAACTCCCTGAATCTGACACAGCTGAAAAAAAAAGCCAAGTTTATGAGATGCTATAAAATTACCAGAACCAAAGGATTGTTTCTAGACAATTATAACCAAGTGAGCATTTTTATAATGCAAAATAACTCACAAAGCTCATGACCAAATATGAAGATCTTGTGACTCTCCCGAATTCCTCTAATTTCCAGTTAAAACAGCTGAAGCTAGTTATCTTACTCACTTCTCTGTAGCTATGATAAAATACTGACCATAAGGCCAGACATGGTTGTAATTAAAAAAAAAAAAAAAAAAAAAAAAAAAGGCGGCTCAAGAGAGAAAAACACCATTCGACAGAGTTCAAGTGAAGGTTTTTTAAATTATTATTAAGGGAAGAGGATTGTAAAAAGGGGAAAGTGAGGGGGAATTGCAGCCTCCAGGGACAGGAGCATCACATCGGGAGAGGAAAGAGAGGCAGATGGGGGGGGTGAGGAGGGGCAAAGAGGGCAGGAAGGAAGGGAGAGATAGAAAGAGGAATAGAGACAGGGAGAGAAAGAAAGAGGGAGAAGGGTGGACAGGGACCTATTAAAAAGGAACATATTGAATAGGCACAGGTGGTGCTCTTAGTGACAGCAGCTGAGGGTGTATCCTGTCAGAACTCCAAAGGCAGGCAGGCCAGCACAAATGCCTAAATACTAACAATGGTGGCACACTCCTTTGACTCCAGCACCCAGGAGGCTAGGGCAAGTAGATCTCTGAGTCCAAGGCCAACTGGTCTACATAGCAAGTCCCAGGATAACCAAAGCTACATAGTGAGACCCTGTATTAAAAACCAAAATAATAATAGTAATAATAATAATACCACTCACTAACTACAAGCAAACTTCAGGGAAAAAATAGCTTTTTTTTTTTTTAATTCATGTTAAGTCAAGGGAGGAACCTTGAATCAAAAACAGAAAAAGAAAAAAAAAATGCCAGAATGCTGCTCACTGATTTCCTCTTAAAACTACAATCAACTAATTACCTTCCTTACATCTCCCAGGACCATCCACTCAGAGCTGGCACCTCCCAGAGTGGACTGGGCCCTCCCACAGTCATCAATCAAAAAAATGCCTCCATGGACTTGCCTACAGACCAATCTGATAAAACAATATTAAGTAGCATATACCCTAACGGAGGTATACGAAAGCACCTGAATGTCAGAGAAACAGACTGGCTGAAGGAATGTCAAAAGTGGGCTCAGAGATTATGACCATACAGAACTGTAGTAAAAACTCACAGTGCTTGAAATGTCCTTTGTAAAATTACTGAAATACCAGAAGACCTTGGTGTTTACTCATTTAATTTTTGGCCGTCTATGCTTTGGATCATCAATCACAAACTGGCAAATACACATATACATACATACATACATACATACATACATACATACATACACACACACACACACACACACACACACACACAATCCGTCCACAAAATGCTTTCATACACATCATGAATGGTCAAATCAACAGTGTTCCCTGACAGCTATGAATTTAGGCTCAGCATGACTGCCACACATGTCTGTGAAATTGTTTTATTTTATTTGATACTGATTGATTTACTAAAAGGAGCAATCATAGAAAAGGAGACATTGAGAAGAGGCATCCTAAAAACATCCATGCCGGAACATTTTTGACATTAAGCTGTTTGACTAAGTATGTGACTGAATCAGAAAATAAGATTTAAAGAACATGTACCCAATGTTGGCAAAAACTATGAAAAACTGTATCTTAAAGGTAAAGTATAATTAGAGATCTTGTTTTCTCCTTAGCTTTCTGGAAATGGAATCTTTATAGCATCTCAGTCTATTATTTGACATTCACATTTAACTTTTAAATATATTTTCAGAAAGGCATTAAGAAAATTAAAGAATGTAGATACTTGATGACAGTCACAAAATCTTGTGTCATTCAAATGATTTAAAAAATCTTGAGTAGGCCTGCATGAAAAGGGTTCAGATATTATTGGGCATAGCCATTAAGAACAAATTCAGTGTATTCAATTCAAGAACTTGACACCCCACAAACTCTCTAGATCTTAAACAGATCTACTCCATAGGCAACACTGCATCACTAAACAAAGTCTAAAATACAAATACAAATAAGACACCTTCCTTGTCCCCAGAGTTATCACATTCAAGTAATACAAAATGGCCTAAATGGTGCCATAAAAAAAAAAGAATGTTGTGGAAATAGAGAGAACCACTAAATCCAGAAAATTGAGGAAGGTTTCACAAGAGAGGTCTCCAACAGCCTAAAAGGTGGAGTAGAATTTCAACATCACAAAACAGGGTAAAAGGTGACAAGAAGAAAATGAAGTGTTCCCAGAAACTGGGAGCAAACCAGTGCGGAAGCTAAGTTCCTTGTTCTTAAGAATACACAACAAATAGGAAAATTAGAGCCTAGATTCTGGACATTATGAAACAGATGTCCCAGTTCTGCCATTTTTACATGGGTGACATGAGACTACCAGTAAGCCAGTTAAGTGGTGAACAGCTATCTTGTTTTATTGCATTTCACTTTTTTTCTGAGACAGGGTCTTGATAGGTAATCAGGCTGTCCTTAAATGATGATACTCCAGCCACAGCCTCCAAAGTGGTAGGACTCAATGTCAGGCTCACCTTGTTAAGCTGCCTAGTATCTGAAAGTGTAAATTCTCTCTTTATGTCTTGATGAGCCTTTGACCTGCTAGAGTGGGTGTTCCTTCCCAGATGCTTTGTATGTACCTAGGCTATGAACATATAAAATAGTCTCTACCAATGACAAACGGGCTGATTTTAAATTGGAAGATAATGTTCCAAATAGCAATTACTACAGAACTGAAAATGTGAGACCGGTATATCTCAAGGTATAAACTTCAACATCTCTGTGTCTTTCCATAGTTGTCAATGACCATCTCTCTGGCCCAGTTTTGTTGCACAATGGTAGTCACTGTTTCTGGCTAAGCAGCCCCCAAATTGGCTTTCCAGTGCAACATGGTATTCTAATAAGTTTCCTTCATTTAAAGCACCTGTTGGTTCCAGTAGTTATAATGGTTCTTGAATTAAGCACTGTATGGCTATTTTGATCATTAAACTCCCAATCTCTTTTCATATACAGTGAGAGCTACACATATACCTTTTAAGTCCCTTTCACACTCTTGAAAAGGAGAAAACACATCTGCCCCATAAAGCTATAAGAATTAAATAAGAATAGCTATCTTATTTTGTACTTAGCAGTACAGGAGAAATTTGGTGTGCATGTGTGAATATGTGTGGGATATAGGGGGTGGTTATGATAATCAAATACATATACACATACATACACTCCACACACCACATCTAGCCAACACTTTGGTCCAGCTTCAGAAAGCAAAAATAAAGCAAGCAGTTTCCTCAATGTGGCACTACATGTTTACTTTCTCCACTCCATGAAGGCAGAGCCATATCTACTCGACCCATCATGCTAATGCCAGAGCCTGGCAGAATGCCTATGCCTAGTACCTACATAATAAATATTTGCTGAACAAACAAATATACCAGATTTTTTTATCATAAAACCCCCCAATGGCTTTCTATGTACAACAGCAGCTAAATACACATCCTGCTACTTTTTGCTGACACTGTCCAGGTGTTCCACCTTCCAACACACAAAAAAAGCCTGTTTTCTTTTTTAAAAAGTGTCTAATGCTTCACATAAGCAAGTTAGTAAGGAAGGAGGAAAGGAAGGAAGGACGAAAGAAAGAAAACAAACAGTGGAGGGGAAATTACAAAGATTCAAAGATTGTTTTCAAATCCCCCCTTGGAGTACTTCCACCCTCCCCAAAAGCAGGCAGAGACAGTAACCTGCTGCAGTCTTTCACATAACAATCTTTTGGTCTGCTCTAAAGGAAAAATTCCAGTCACAAGTCCCCAGCAAATACTTAATCAACACCATGACTTAAGAGGGGGGTCTCAAGATTGCACAGCATCCTCCAAAGAGTGATTTTTTGATGTTCACAGATGGAGTAGAGTTTTTTAGGATGAAGAAAAGGCTTAGAGGCAAATCACTGACAGGGAGCTGCAGACTGTTCATGTCCTCACATCCTACATTCCATTTGTAATCCAGGCTAGTCGACTCTCCAAAATAATTTATCTTCAAAAGAAGAGAAGGGCTAAGAAAATTTGAAACCTGTGATTTAAAAGTAGCTGAATGCAAAGGAAACTGATTAGGAAGCAAGATCTCATTAATGGTGGTGCACATTGAGTGACAGGACATGTGATGCTAGGCTAAGAGATATCTGATTTTAAGTTGGAACTGAAGTTAAGTCACACTTCAGTTGAACACTGCTTAAAATTAGAAATCAGACAAGGCCATCTGCATTTCTGAATTCTACTTCAGGAAATAACTTCAGGCAATAAATTACTACTCACAAACGCCTGATATACAGGGCATCCAAAATGCTACTGAACTGATAATTTCTTTTATAAACTTCTCCCAAAATGACTAGACCTGAATACTATTTCTTTCTATGCAACACTTGACGAATTTCCCTGTAGAATCTGAAAGATTCTTGACATGTAAAGGCAAAATGCATTTGTATCTGGTGACAGCACTTGCAGGTCTCTCCTCAATAATAACGCTAACAATTTTCCTGGGACTTCCTAGAAACGGAAGCACACGCATGCTCTATCCCTGCCCTCAAACCATCTGAGATGGGAGCAGCGAAACCGTTCCAATCAGGAGAGTAAACGCTGCCCAGACAGGTTGCCATGAAGTTGTAAACCGCACGTGTGTGCGACTCATCGAAAGAAATGAAAATAGCCAGCGAGTATGGAGCCCGTCACAAGAGAAGGAAACCTCCCAAACAAAAATCCCTTCAGCTGCTGACTCCATAAGGAAGCCCCATCCCACAGCCCTAGGGTCTCCGCCCAGAAAGATTAAGGTCACCCGCCAAACAGCCCTGAGGGGCGGTCCGAGAGCACGCCACGTTCTGAAGAATTAAAAACAGAGAACCTCCGCTCCCCTCAATTATGTCTCGACCCCTACATTCCCAACCAGGTACCCTGAACATAGGCTTGTGGCTCACCGCTTGTGCCTAGTTGGGTGTCGTCGCCGTGGACTGGCGCCATGGTCAGATAGACTCCCGATTCCGCGCCAACCAGCCCGAAAGTGGCGCGGGGGCCGAGATAGGCGCCAGTACCAAAGCCAATCAGCGGCTTGGAAGGCTGTGGACTTCCGCCCGGAAGGCCACTGACGTGCAGCGCCGTACCGCGCCCCGCCCCTGGCCTTCCCGCGGGAGTGCTTTTGGCGCCCAGTGATGACCCCCGAGGGAATAGTGGCAAACTGAGCGAGGCCCAAGGAGAACTGGAGAAGGAAGCGGTCGGGCGCTGAAAGGAAACCACTTAAAGACACTGCGCAGGCGCACGCACGCTATTTTTAAAAACCTGAAGGATTCGTGGGAAACGGGTTTCTCTGGTCATGAGAGATTATTTTCTGGGAAAAGAGATGCGGGCGGGCATAAAAAGAAGGGACACTGTCTCTGCCCTTCAATTGCTGTGCTGTCTCTGTCCTCCCTGCTCCTCACCCCAAAAGAGACTTCCTCACCCCAGTCATTCTGATTCTTGCATGGTCTCTTGCTTATCCGATTGTGATTATCCACAAAAATGTATGCCACAACCTTAAACTATGTGGACCATCTTAAGCAAATGGCTAAAGTGGCAGCCATCTCATCTCCTGATGTAATGCACTTGAAAAAGTGACAAAATGACTTATGTGGTTTGTGTTTGCTTGGGGATTTGCTTACTTCTTTTAAGAGACCGTTGTTGACGAAAAATAAATACTAAAACTCTCACCTCAAAAAAAAAAAATCATTGGTAAACTTCACTCTTGGGAGGTTGAGATAAGAGCATGATAATTTTGAACCCAAAATGGACTACTAGTTTGAGACCAGCATAGGCTACAGAGGAAGACTCTGTCTCAAAAAAGAGAAATAGAGGAAAAGAGAAACAAAGAGAATGAAGAGGAACATCAAAAAGATAAATAATTGAGACAACCAAACATGGGAAACGTTTAGATATTTCACATTGGAAATAGCAAAGGGTATATTGATGTGTACATACCTAATTGAAACAATATATCAAATACTTAAGTATATGAACTCCGTAAGCAAAATGTGTACTTTACAAAGATGACTTTACAAAGATTACTGGGATAGTTTAAAGCTCAGGTAGGGTCAGGCTTAAGGTTTGAGCCATAGACTGCTATATAACCTTGGACTGGTTTCAGAGACCTAAGTGTTCTTCTTTTTTCTTAGTAATGGAACACAAATTTTCAGCTAGGTACATTGACAAAAAAAAAAAAAAAAGAAAAGAAAGAAAAGAAAACTGTATTTCCAGGCTTTCTTCACAAAAAAAAAAAAAAAAAACTTAGTTATTTAACAAATTTCTATACCACAAAAAAAATGTAGTTTCACTACGGAGTGCTGGAAAAGACAGATACTTTAAAAAAATTGAAATTAAAAAAACATTTAAAATTAAAATTCTTTTTTTAATTTTCTTTTTCTTTTCTCCCCCTTCTCCTTTTGTCTCTTCCTGAAACACAGATTTGATAGCTGAAGGTCCTGGGCCATGGAATGAGTGGGAAAGAAAGTCACATGCTGAACATGTGGGGCAGAATGATAAGAATATGGGTTCATATATATGGACCACCATAACATCCTTAGACTGACTAACTCCAGACTTCTACATGAATGAGAAGTAAATATGAAACATAGTTAAAAGCACTCTTTTTGAGATTCTAATTATATTTAATAGAACCTATTTCTATAAAATATACTTCTTTTTTACTTTCACCTTTTCCTTACTTGTTAAAATTTAATAAGATTAATACTAGATGAGAGATCCAGCCTCTTAATTTGTGTAACACCAAAGCTGATACCTCTTTTCCATTGTGCAGCTGTCTCTGGTGAATGCCTGTCTATTTCATTTAAATGCCAGTAACAGTTAAGAGCAGACAAATAATTTCCATTCATTCAACAAATGTTCATCAAGAGCCTACTATCCTTCTGGTATTGCTCAAGGATCTGTTGGTATGTTGGACAAGGATAACTTTTTTTTTTTTTTTTTGAGGTGAGTTTCTTTTATTGTCTTCATAACAAGATCAGCTTAGAACTGGATCACTTGGCCCTTTCTCTTCTTATCACCTCCTAGTTCAAAATGCTTGCATCTTTTAATAGCCAGCATCCGCTTAGATATGCAGTTAGGCTCAACACACTCAAGCCTCAGCAAAATCATATTTGTAGATTTAGCCTTTTTTCAGAAAATGGGCTTAGTCTGCCCACCATACCACTCTGTTTCCTGTCATAACGCCGCTTTCCCTGGGCATACAAAGAGTCCTTGCCCTTCTTGTACTGCGTCACTTTATGGGACTGGTGCTTGCCACATTTCTTGCAGAACGTCCAGCGGGTCTGAGGACGTTGGCGGGAGCAATATCGGCACAGAAAGAAAGAGGGAAAGCCAGCGACAGAAGTTTATAGGAGAACAAGGATAACTTTTCTGGACATTATTTTCTACTTCTCCAGCAACCTTTCTTTTATAAACTAGATTTATTTTTTTCATTGAGAGAAAAGGAAGAAATAAGAGCAGGGGAGAGAGAAAGGGAGGAAAGAAAGGAAGTGGTGGTGGGGGCAACAACTACATTAGTGTTGTTTTATCTCTGGTACAGTGGCTGTGCCTTAATTTGCTGCTAGTTCAACCAGCAACTGTGACTCCCCAGTTACCAGCCTGCTTCTCTAGGCTGGCAGTGGCCAGGTCGCTCAGGCTGAAACCTGGCCAGAATTCTGTTCCCAAAGGCACTGGCTCTGTCGCTGCTGCTAAAAGTAGCTTTAACTAAATCTTTCTCATTCTACTTACATATAAAACTGGACAGTCAAAGTCTGGGGTGAAAACCTGCTAGCTCAGAGAGGTTGAGTAGTACCTAGCGAACCTTCTCTCTCTGTCAAACAAACAAAAAGTGCCACTCCAAATCCCTCCCTACTCCTTTCAGTGCATCTGTCTATCTCTTCGAAATGCCCTCTGATGCTCTATGATTACTTTCTGTCAACTAGTTGCCAACTCAGCCTCCTGATCCAGGTAAATTTTACTTAATTAATGTAAACTCACAGTGTGATTGAAAATCCCCCAACACACTAGCCAAGGAAAATATATTCTGATATGCTTCATAGATATGCTTCACATGGAAAATCACCAAATTGGCACTTTGGTGTCAATATCTATGTGAGTCTATTCAAGTGAATCTAGACCCTGTGCCTGATTTTCTTTAGGCTTATTGGTAAAATCAGCTTTAGGGTCATACAAAGATCCTAAGCTCAACTAGGCAATGGTATATATTTGCAGTGGTGAAAAGAGGGTCAACTGCTAGCTACAAAAAAATAAGCAAATAATAACAAAACTTGCATAATATTCTCTCAATGGTCCACAAAGAGTCTGAATGACAGGAGAGATATACAACTGTGCCCAAGCTCAAACCATTTCCCCTTCTGCATAAGATAAAATAGCTCTCTTTTGTCTTATCTACCTAAAAAGATACATGGCACTGATGACTATTAAAGGGCCTCTCCTCTTACTCCTGAACAAAGCACACCACTCTGGATGTCATTTGCCACCCTGTTCCCATGAGGTGCTGTAGTGTCTGATCCTACTGGAGTTTTGTTGAGTGCTTGCCTTAACAGCAAATACTCTGAAACTGAGACCAACTGAGTCAACACCCAATAGAGGCAATTTAGCTCAAAGTGAAATCCATGTCACCTCTAAAATAAGAATGGATGAGACCATCAAAATCAGGGACCAGACAGATTAAAATCCATGAATCTAGCAAGGGACAGAGCCAAACAGGCACACACCAGGGTTTCCCAAGCTTTAACACAAATAAACCCTTAATTAATTCACAATGGATATATGTTATTATGCTGACTGCTCAGTATCTAAATACCTCTTGCTGTATGTGGGCCAGTTCCCATATTCTGGATTTTGGAGGAGGTAAACTATTAGCCTACAAACCGAAAATGTTTCCCAGAAATGCTGCTAGCTACAGCATGAACATATCTTACTGGCCATTTCCACAGGAATTTTGATTTTGGAGCTAACGTGAGCACACAAATGTATGCATACACACACACACACAGAGAGAGAGAGAGAGAGAGAGAGAGAGAGAGAGAGAGAGAGAGAGAGAGAGAGAGTTGAGCAGTAAACAGAACAACTGCGTGCCCAGGACACATGCAGAAATAGCCAAGATGCCCTTTACCAAAAAGCTCAAAGGTGTGAATTTACCATATATCTCATAAGATTCTCCTTTGTCCATGCCCACTTCAGTTGAGTTCTCCTAGACAGTCTGTAAACTACTTGATATCTTCTCAGAAACTTCCTTTTCTTCTTTGTCATCACCATAGCCTGCCTACCTGCCTGCCTTCCCTCCCTCCTTCTTTCTTTCCATTGAAAATCAGTTTCTGTTGCTATCCCCACTGACACACCATTGTGATTAACTCTTGGTTAATATTTCAGACACTTATGTACAAAGAATAATACTGGACAGAGGGTGAAAGCACTCTCCAATTTGAAAGTGATGATCTCCACAATCAACTAATAGGTGACTGCCTAGTTAAAACATGACTTTTATGAGCTTAAAAAAAAGTAGGACTGTCTCCAAGAGAATATCCTTGGCTGTTCAAAGAGAATCCAGCCAATACTTACAACACTAAGGACAAAAGTCTGGGCTGTGAAGACTCAGAAGGGTAACTCCAAGAATCCTCCCCTACAGGAGGCCATTACTTGACCATAGTCCCAGAGACATGCTCACTAACCAGAGAAGCCCTCTATGCAGTGTGACCTTTATAAATATCTCTGTCTTGTCAATAACTGTATTCAGTCATTAAAGAGTTAACTCAACAACTTTTCTCATTCATTCCTTGAAGGCAAAATAATTTTTGTAAGATCTGGCTTTCCAATTCTACTAAGTTGTGAGGAGGGGGAAAGATACTAGAATTAGAGATTAATTGCTCCATTTCATAACTATTCCATATCATATTGTTAGTAACAATTGATCTATTATCTAAGTCCTAAAAAATAAACAGTAGCATAAATGTGTGCTGATCATGTAGATACTATATTTTACAACATATAACAGTTAATTTTTGGGTTTTGTTTTGAGACAGGATTTCTCTGTGAAACAGTCTGGCTGTCTTGGAACTCTCTCTGTAGATCAGGCTGGCCTCAAACTCACAGAAATTCGCCTGCTGCCTCCTGAGTACTGAGATTAAAGATGTG